CCCCAGTGCGGATTGGTGGGTATTAACGACTACAGTTACAACCGGGACCGACGGTTAACGAGCCTTTCCAAGCACGAAGGAGTTCACATAAATTTTTGGTCACCCGTCCTATGAATGGCCATTACGAAAGTTACTTAACAACTGTACCGCAGACCGAGCGCGTTAACCGCACCATCGAGTTCCTCACTGAGAGTATAGTTAAACTGAATTTGTTCGATTAGATTCATAAAAAAGTAAATTGTAGAATACGTTCTTCCCCAAATTTCAAATTATCTCTATACGTTTTTTATTCCCAAATACAACATTTGTGGATTCGTTTATAGCTATTAAAAATAAAGTAGTCACATAAAACCAATTTTTGTTTCAGCGGAGTACATCTTACCATGTAGGCGGAGTGACACTCAGCTGGATACTTGCATCAAGACGTCATTCAACCACTACGACCGTACTTAGCTCGTGGTCTACCAGACATCGGAGTGCCACCGGTGGAACCTCTACTCATCGATCGGCTTGTAATGGAGAATTCTGCGGGACCCGTCAGAGTCACAGCCGCTTTCAGTAACATCACAGTCACAGGGCCCAGCAATTATACCATCACAAAAGTTAGGTATGATAGCATTATTCTTAATGTATTATGTTCTTCGCTGATTTTTAATATAATGGATAATCCTATATAATGAAATGAAATGAATAATATTTTATTCAAGTAAGCTTGTTACAAACACTTTTGAATCGTCCAATTTTTTTTCCCCTACCACTTGTTCAGAACGTCTTTTAGCTGACAAGAAGAACAAGCGAAAGAAACACACCAGCTCTTTATCATAAGTAATACATTTACAAAATAATGGCATTACCAAAATAATAAATATAACTTTCAAAGTTTATAGGTTATAGGTTGTACATGTAATTCGTTATAGAACAAAGCGAAGGCTTTGAATTTCATGCATTGCCGTCCTTAAAATAATCATCAACTTTATAATAGCCTTTACTCATAAGTATATCTTTACATGAATTTTAAATTTATTTATGGGTAAGTCAAGGTTTTCTGAAGTCTGAAGCTTGGAACGGCAAGTTTATTTTTATTTCTTGTGTTAAGATTATGAACACTACTTTTTTTGAGAAGGAATCGTAATGTTTTCTTGCGTACATAATATTTTCACACATAATAATATTTATTGGTCTTGGATAAAAAAAGTTGTGCAAAAAAAAGTGTCTGCTAATTAATCGTCTGTCGGTTAAAGAATACTTTTCTATTTTATCAGCATTGTTCCGACAAAGATAGTTTAGCAATACTATCATCATATTATTCTGGTCTTAGTATCAGTGTTAATGTCGTTTGTCATATCGACTGAGTCGATTCTCAGAAATAAAACTGCTAAATAAAATTTTATTATAGTACAGAATTTTGCCTTAAAATTTTATTATACAGATAGTATCAAACTCCAATAGTACTTCAATAGTGACGATATTCTAGTCAGAGGAAAGTAACCAAAACTAGAATAATATACCTACCTCAATTGGAATACTGAAATCACTTTCTAAATAAAATTATTATTTAAAGAAATTTGGGTACACTTTGAAATATGCCAAGAGAGTAAACCGATGCGAATAGACTTATCGTCAATTTTTCAAATTTTCACCAACTAAGAATTATTTAAGAATTAAATGTTTCAGGTTAGGAATTATATTGCATATTCTGTTATTTAAATTTTTTTTTGTTAATTAGAAGATTTCTAACAGTTTGTTATAGTGTAAGCAAAATCGTGTGCAACTTTTATAGGGCTACAAAATAAACTTTTCCATAATGTAGGTTTGATACCTTTATATCAGATTTTCATAATACAAAAGCTTTAACTATTTGTTTGGAATCTCAACAACGATGCCTCTAATATTTGTCTTTATCGGTTTATTAACCGTAAACCTATCTCTTTCCAACGATCATAGACTTCGCAATATCTACCGGTGACTGTAAACAATGACACAATATTTTCGTAACGAACTTAACGTACGTAATTCCCAAGTAATACAGCCTTCCAACAGTCCTATTCAAAGCGGTAGCATTATACCGACAATCTTATGTATCTACCTCAAATTATTATGGATAGAGTTGGCCAACAATAGGAGAATGTTGAGCTTGCAAAACTAATGTTATTAAGCCCATGTTTAATACAAAGAAAGAAAAAAGATTAGACAGTATAAAAGGCGGCCTTATTGCTATACAGCAATCTCTTCCAGGCAACCAATGGTAGCATAGAAAACATAGATAAACAGTAATGAATGATGACGGGGAGTAGGTGCAATAGCGACAGGAATTAAATAGATATACATAAAGAGAAAAATATATAATGTACACGAAAGAGAGAGAGTTAAAAGTTGGAGAGAAAGTGACATTTTACTTCTGCGACGAAAGATCGCAAAGTGCGAGCCTTCCTAATATTTTCTGGTAACGAGTTCCAAAGCCGAACAGCTTGAACAGAAAAAGAATAGGATAGGAAGACAGAGGAGTGAGGAGGGATATCAAGTTTCAGGTTTGAGGTAGACCGCAGAATACACTGTGATCTGGATGAGGAGTTGCGAAAGGAAAAAAAAATTTTAAAGTAGGGTGGAGACATGGGCAAGAAAAGAACAGAATAAAGAAGCGTAAGCGTGTGTAAGTCCCTGCGCCGGCGAATAGGGAGCCAGTTAAGTTTTGAGCGGTAATGCGACACATGGTCATATTTGCGAAGATTAAAAATAAACCGAATACACATATTCTGCAGACGCTCTCAAATAAGGGTCTGTTTGTTGTAATGAGTCAAACAGTGCAGCTAACAGTGTGGCCATGTATACATGACGCTATTTGTCTGATTGATATCCTTTAAGATTTCTGTTTTGTTTTGGTTATAAAAAATATTTTTTATTCAAAGACTACATCTTTTGTCAATATTTTTTTCGGTGCTTTTTAAATAAAAATGTACAAGTACTTTTTAAATAGAGTAAATTACCACTGTTCCTAGGTTAACCTTCTTTATGTCCCTGATCATTTTTAGTGTCATTCATTTTTTCATAACGAACTGATGTAGTTCATATTTGAAATATATATTTGAGCTTATTGCAGTATCTCTTATTCGACCTCATGATACCTTTACAACACATTTCATTTACAGGTGAAGCGATGAACCAGTTCTTGAACAACAATGCAGCAGAGATCATAGACGAGATGCGACCAGCTGCATCCATTGCTATCGCAAAACATTTCCAAGCGTTCGTGAATGCCGCCTTCACCAACGTCCCAATGGATGTGTGGCTAAAACCTTAAAACCTGGATAAGAGACTACCTACTTTACCCCCTTTAAAATTTTAGATCTTGTGGATTACACAGTCATCATTGCCTTGTGCATAGGTCATTATGCGGGTAAATCAGATTTTGAGAATAGGTTTAAAGCTAGAAATAAAAAAAATGCGTAATTTTTCCTATTTCTGAATTTCGTGCTTATGTTTCGTACTGACGTTTGAATAAGATGTTCTCCTTTATACATCATTGTTTTACACTTTCTCAAGATAATTGTTAAAAGGATTTTGTATGCCTTCTGGAAAAGCATCAAGTTCGATGAATTGACTTTTGCTGTTGGACTGGACTTTTTTAAAGTGATTGAAATCTTAGAGATAGTGACAAAAACTGTATGCTTTGAGCATTTAATTTTTTTCTGAAGTTGTAATACCAATGTTTTTGATTTTATTTAATTCAATAAAAAAAGGTTTTTGTGTTTATCTCGTTGAACACAGGACACGATGCTTAACGAAATTATGTCAAAACAAATTCTATAATTTAATAGTATATCATTTTAAATTTAAATATACAAGTGTTCAGCCAATTGCTAATTATTAATTACCAATTGATGTGCAAAATACGTATAATTTTTATACCATAACACACTTGGCATAAACTTTTATAAGTAATTGTCGAACGAAGGTTATGCCGAATATATGTATTTGGAAATGGATATTCCGTGAGAAAGAAGAAACCCGTGACAAGTAGTTAATATCTTGTTTTGACTCGACTGTAAATAAATTATGGGTAAATACGTTTTTTTAATGGGGTATTGTATGATTCTGAGACTTATTATTACTAGTAATGCTTTTTAGTTTCTGCGTTAAGATACTTTAAATCTTTAAGCAACATTTATTGAATTAGTTAAAAAAATCACAATTTTTATGTAAAACCCAAAAAGTCTTTCTCATGTTTATTTTGCTAATTAATTTTAATATAGACTCCATCTTAATCAGTTTCGCTTTGTCATCAACCTTATGCGTACTTCTAAATCGTTTACTGACGTACTGCAAAATTAAGGCGTCATGTATGTTTGTGAGATAAAAATTTAAATACAAAAATCTACTTTATAAATGGTTTAAGCTTTATTTATTTGTATAATTTACAAATCATACGTAGTTTTAATTTTAAGCTTAGTTATTAGAAGTGTAAAAAATGTGGTTTATGATAAACTTCAAGGAAGTTTATGTTTAAAAATTAATAATTATGTTGTAGGTGTATTGTTGTGTGTAAAATATATAACAACCTAATTGACTATAATGATATGAAACAAAGTCAAGGAAAGTTGAGTTAATTATATTGTGTTAATACTTAAAATAAACACAATTCTTATTGACTGTGGTGTTTTTATTATATACTTAATTATAGACATATTACTCAATTTGCTTTAAAAGTTTTGTTCAGGGTATTGTAGTTCTGAAGCATAACGTAAACAAATATTAAGAATAAATAAATAATACATTTATTAATAACTTATATGTAATTACATGCTTATAAAATGCATAATACTTTAAATTATATACAAAATAAAATAAAAAAATAATTTAGGACCTCATATAATTTTTTGTAGCAATTTAACTTAACCTTTTACTGGACCTTAAACCATTCGTTGGTTACAATGGCCTAACCATGTTTACTATATGTTCTGATATTAGTGCGACTCTTGCAACTTAACTATAAATAACAAATATCACGGTAATAGTATATCATCGGCTTTGAGTGTGGCGAAGGCGTGGTCTGCTAGTGGCTTCAAAAAGTCGTGTAGAGCATCCTCCATGGGCGTCTGCAGCTCCTCAGCTAGCTTTTGCCAGTTCTCGTTGAGGTATTTGTTCATTGCCGCACCTGAAGTGAAAGAGTTTTTAAGTTATTCTCGTTAAGTATACCGAGAGTCTAACTTAGTCAATGTGGAAAACAGTTATTTTTATATCATTTCGGGTCTACAGTTGTAATACCATAGTTATTTTTGATTTCCATAAGACAAAACCTAAGTTTATATCTGGGCAATTGTTCACTTATACACTATAATATAATAAAAATAATCCTTAAATGCATATTTCCAACAAATCCAAACTAGATACTAGGATTTTGTAGTCTTGAATCTTCGAAATATGATGTAAAGGATGGTGTAATTATAATGTAAAGGACTAAAATTATTGGAAAACATTACAAAATGATTAAATAATATCAAAAATCTCACCCAAGTCATTCTCTCCACCAAAGAGATTCTCGAGCTCCACGGATGCGTAACCGACTTGGAATTTCACGTCTAGATGCTCGCAGGTCAAGGTGTCTTCACCATCAGGATGCGGATGTCGTCCCAGACCGATGGTTACGTTGACATTAATGTCACCTAATGGAAATATATAAATAAATATTAGACAACATCAAATACATTGCTCAGATTCCAAAGCCCCCTTATAATGGAGTATCTGAGACAACCAAGGTACAACAGCATCCAGACCCGAGACGATATAGAACAGTTCATTTTCTACATTGACCCGAATGAAATTCGAAGCCGGGCACACAGAGATGGTAACACCTTAAATCGTACATTAATAATACTTCTTAAATACTGATCTGATCATTAAAATCCTTTCACCTACAAGAAGCTACATCATATGTGGGTAACATAGGCTATAGTTTACGTGGGTGAAGTCACGGAAACATAGCCAGTTGTCAAATAATTACAATTTCGGTACTTTGCATTATTGCATACTAAGCAAATTGCATAATGAAGACTATCGCATGTCTATGTAGCTTTAACTTAATTTTTTTTATAGAGATTCTCCTCAAATCTAAATACTTGGCCATTTTAAGATAAGGACCTGATTACGGCAATTTTAAGAGTTACGAAAAACTGAACTCTCATACATCACAGTTAGCAATTTATAACATCACATCACCACCAGCCCTTTTAACGACTGCAAATGCAGCCGGGACCAACGGCTTAACATGCCTTCCGAAGCACGGAGTAGCTCGAGATAATAATTTTTGGTCACCCATCCCGTGACCGACCCTTGCGAAAGTTGCTTAACGATTACGATCGCGGGCCGCGGCGCTTATCCACTACGCCTACGAGCCTACGAGCTCAGCAATTTATAAGCTTTGCAACAATTCAAAATATAAAAAACTGTGAACGGTAAAGCAATAAATAAGTTACACCTTAAGTCATATATGCCTGGTCAAGCCGGGTCTCTATCCTATGTAGCTGTTGAAATAATTTAAATTTCCATATAAATTATTTTTAGATGACAAAAGTTGCGAAATTATGATTGAATATTAACTTTGATTCTGCTATCAAATCGTAAAAATATATTACCATATTTAGCTGAGAATTTTCCTTCTCCTTCGATGGGTAACATCAGGAGCTGACCGGCCAAGTTGTAATGGCCTTTCATCGTCAGTTTGGGAATAAATATCTTTGCTACTACCCTATGATTTTTAGCGTCCACACTGAAAAATAAAAGTTTGTTATATATATTTTTTCTTAGTTCTATGTGTTCGTATTTTATTTTTAATTGTGATGATTCGTTTTAGTGTGTAGATAAATCTAGATCGGCGTTTCACGTCGAGGTCTAATGTAATGTGTAAATTAAAGGGGCGAAACTTCTGCATCTAGAGTATTTATTTCGGTGGAAGGAGGAGATTTTGATAAGACAGATCCCCTCCATAGGAATACTCTTGTTGAAACCAGTTTTCAGAGTAGAATGTTAAATATTATGTTTTTTTTTATGTGCGTCTAATTATAGTGGCTCCTATAACACTGAAAGTTTATGTAAATGCATTTTTTAATAACATACATTTTTTAAATATATCTGTGACTTCTGCATAGACTTGGAAATCTCTATTTAATCTGTAGGGAAATATGCATACAATTATACGTCCCAAATTTTATCTTGATCAGTAACCATAATAAGTCATACGAGATTTGTGTTTAAATAATACTAATATGACAATTTTATTTAAATTTAAATTGTATTTAAAATTACCTGTATAGTAAAACCTCTCTTAAGTCGATACCGGCGTGAGAGCCACTCGACCATGGAGGTAAAACTTAAAAATCTCTCGAACTAGTTTATTTCTTATAACTCTTCTTCATCTTCTAAAATCCTATCTAATATAAAATATTAAGGACTTACTGTACATCTCGGACATCCATTGTGGAGGGGCCTCGCACAATGACGTCAGAGTACGATGACGTCACAGTTATGGGTCCGGTGGACTGCTGAACGGACAAAGATGGCACCATGAGAGGCTCACAAGGTGGTACCCCATACTCCGGCACTCCTGTGCAATTAAAGTTATTCAGTACAATTATATTTGGAATGTTAAACAAATCAATGAAATGGGAAATAGAAGGACGGATGAAAGAAAGGCGAGATAGCGATTTTTGTCTGGGATTAAAGTGCGTGCGGCTTATGACTTCATGTGTTCTCCTTGTAATTTTCATAAAAGAAGAGAAATAAAAGATTTAATTTTGGAAAATATCCAAGGTCAGTAATGATCTGGGGTGCAATATCATATAATGGACCGATTAGTTTAGTGGTAATAGAAGGTAGACAAAGCTCTAAAAGTTTCATCAAACTTCTGCAGAATAAGCATTCTGCAGAATAAGAATTAGCAGTGCAATAGGGAATGAAGGTTTTATTTTTCAACATGATAATGCTAGTATTCATAGTGCACGTAACGTTCGCGAGTGGTTTCTACAAAATAATATAAATATTCTCGATCGGCCATCACTCTCCCCCGACCTGAACATAATTGAAAATGTGTGAGGATGGCTGTCACGTGAAGTTTATAAGAACAGTAAACAGTATGACACCAAGCACGAGCTCAAGGAAGGTATAATTAAGTGTTGGAGCAAATTACCAATTACATTTATAAGAAAACTATACGACTCAATACCATCCCGTATTTTATATTTAATTCAAAAGAATGGAAAAGGCATTGATAGTTAATCAATAAAAAATGTTAATAATAAAATTTGATAATAATATATATTATGTTTTATTTAATGGTCATGAACATTCAAGTGGCGCGACACATTGACTATAGGAATTGTTGCGAGCGCCTCGTTGAGTGTTTTTGGTGTTCAATACTGTAAACATAGTTAAACGTGGCATGTCTTAAGATTTAAATACTTTTTATTTCTAGATATTTATTTTGATTCATATTTTAAAGAGCAAAGGAAAATGCACTTGTCCTATTCATGTGGCATCACAAAATTACGTTTTCGTACCGTTTTAATTGGGAATAAATAGAGTGATAAGGTTTTAATTTAAAAATATATTTTAATATTAATTCACAACTATTCACAAATTGATTAAAAAATAAAGAAATAAAAATAAATTCAAAATAAATAAAAAACCTGTGTTATTTCTTAGTTATTAGTATTTGGTGACATTTCCTTTTGCGTCAATGAGTGCCTGTATACGTTTAGGCATGCTTGCAATGCATTGTTTGGCACTTTCTTTTATTTTTGGATTGTGGTGCCAGACATTTATTAACTTTTTTATCAATTTTACCTTGGTAGTAATAATTTCTTTGGCAATTTCCGCCTTGGTAATCTCCCACAAGTTCTCAATGGGGTTCATGTCTGGAGAATTGCCAGGCCAGGCTAAAACTGGGATATTATTGTCTGCTAGAAACTTGGTAATGCTTCTAGCTTTATGACATGGAGCTGAATCATGCATAAACATGAATTCTTCTCCATTAGGGAACCATTCTTCCAGTTGTGGCAACAGGCGAGTATGTAAAACTTGTCTGTACTGGTCTTGTCTCATGGTACCCTGGACAATATAGAGGCGTCCAACCCCTTTGGCACTTATTACAGACCACACCATTATTTTGACGGGGTGTTTCACTTTCTCCACGATACAGTCAGGATGGTATTTTTCTCCTGGGCGTCGCCTGACAAAACTGCTTTTGTCAGCCAAAATCTCAAACGTCGACTCGTCAGAGAAACACACCTAAGTAAGGAAAGATTTTTATTTTTTTGGACAAAAAATATTATTTTACATATCGAGAAATTACAGTAAAAGTCAAAACCAACCTTGTTCCAGTCCTCAATAGTCTTTTGTCGGTGTTCCTTAGCCCAGACAAGACGATTTTTTTTCATCGCTTCAGTTAAGCGAGGTTTTTTGACGGGGCGATGACCTAACAATCCTTCTTCTGCCAATCTCCGCTGCACCGTTCTCTTGGAAACTTGTATTCCTGACTCTTGAACTAACTGGGTTAAAAGACCAGCACTTTTTTTTCTGTTTCCCAGACAAATATCCCGAATCACCCTGTCAGATCGCGGAGTTGTAATTCTTTTTCTTCCACTATGACCTTTACGTTTTGGCGAAAGTGGTTGATTTTGTTCCAATTTTTTTTTAATTTTATTTACTGCCGACTTGGAAACTCCAGCAAGTGTTGCTATCTTCCTTTGTGAATGATTTGTGTGCTGGAGTAAAGTTTTGACTTCGGATTTTTTTCTAGGAGACAAATCGCACCCGCGACCCATACTGGAAGCCGAAAATATTAAAAATATTTTTTTTTTCACCAAAAAAAATGTTATTTATTAATAAAAATAACAAACAATTCATAATACTCACATTTTTAATATTTTTCACAACAAATATTTAAATAACTTGGTTCAATATATTCGAATACGTCTTTCACTGTTTCGCGTCTATAGCGCTCTGCGTCCCTCCAGTCATCAATATTTTTAAAAATAACCAATTATACCACTTATCACCCAACAAACACTTATAATTTGAAACATAGAAATATGCCAATCGTAAAAAAATACATTCCCACATAACTTGCACTCTTCAAGCAGCATTCAAGTGCACTTAAAATAACAAATTGAAAAAAATGTGACTGTCCCTAATAATTTGGCAACCCACTGATTTAATTTGACATTTGTAATTATATAATTGTAAATAGATTACTATGGTTGAATGGTTAATTATTAATTATTGACATCATCTTTACTGAAACATTATTCTCTGTTTTCATGTAATGCCATTTTAAAATAAAAATATTTGCATACTATAGAATGTGAGAAACTATTGTTAATAACTTTGCATATAAACAATTAATTTAAATATTTAAAAATCTTATATACATATATGTCTTTAGATATATAAGTACATTATAGTAAGCTAAAATGTGCATTTTTGTACCTATTTATAATATGCTAACTGTTTTCCCGCGAATTCGCCCGCGTAAATTGGCCGATGTCAAACGCATATGATGTAGCTTCCCGTATGTGATTGTTTAAAAAATCAGTCCAGTAGTTTCGGTACCTTATTATTACAAACAAACAATCAAATCTTTTTTTTTTATAATATTATTATACATTATAGCATATGTGTTGATCAAATTAATATATTTTTCCAGTTTTCCTTAGTATATTACCTATTAGTATCAATCTATATTAATCGTAATTTTATTGTTTTCTCTCACATAAGAAACCGGTTGACTGGTATCTAATGGTATCAAGTTTGTCATTTACACGTTTTACATCATAATTAGTTTTAGTAAATATTTACTGAAATTGGCTGAAAGTTTCCCAGTGGATTCCACTGGCAGCATCTGGAATTGCCCCAAGACCACGTATTCGCCTGTTACTTCCAACCGAGGTAGGCTTATGTTGCCGGTCACTTTCAGGTCTTCTGGGAATACGCTGAGGAAAAATTTCAAGCCTTTGTTATTGTGCAGGTTTCGTTACGTTTCGTAAAGGCACTTCAAAAGAAGTGACATGGCCATTTACAAGAACTATTAGTCTGTTATAAGTAGATATGTAAAAGAAAAGTATTGCACCGGTTTCCAATTGTCGTCGTCTATGAGGTCCCGGGTTCCTAGTCGGGTCAACGTTAAAAAGAACTTTTCTATATTGTCTCTGATCTGGGTGTTGTGATACCTTACCCCGTATGCTACTCATCTTGGAATCTGAGCGATGTATGTGCGGTTGTTTAATATTCATATCTTTATTGTATTTTAATAAATAATGTGAGAAGCTTGGGCCTACATAAGGTCTGAAAACTTTTTGACAGTGCGAGCCATATGATGTGGTCTTGGCAACATTTTACATGAAAATGTTTTAGGTGGGATATTTATTAATAGACGTCAACGAGGAGGAGCTCATTAGCGCAGTGGTTAGGGCACACGGTCTCTGATAAGGTTGTTAAATAACTTAAGCAAGAACAGAACATAGAATGAATGAACAAAAATTTATTATCTCGAGCTCTTCTGTGCTTCGGAAGGTATGTTAAGCCATTGGTTTTGGCTGCATCTGCAGCTGTTAACATCCATCAATGATAACTGGACTGTTGTGGTGGGCCATGGCCCGTTTTCCCTATTCGATTCCATTCCATGCCGGCCTGAAGGCCTGTACCCCAGCAGTGAGCACATAAATAGGCTGAAGGAATTAAAGGAAGTGTATTTGCATAGCTATTTTCAAGAATTACCGATGTTGTGAGCGTAATAAAGTGCCCAGAAAAATTCCATTAATATTTTAAGAAAATAAAGTCATACTAACTCTAAATTATTAAAGCTGTAATTGGTTAGTCCTCTGACCGTCAAATCCGACAGCCAAGCGTCATATTTGAACTTGTTTCTCGGCATGTTGTGTTGCCGTAGTCTTATGCTTGGCACCCTCAAAGGTTCCAACGATTGCACACCTAACGATGGTACCCCGGCCGCCAGCACGTTTTTCGCTTGTTCAGCCATACGGCGGATACAATCAGCGACATTAGGATCGCTGTAGTGACATATCGTTGGCTTACCTATGAAAAATTCCTGGTATATTTTTTTTATAATTCATTGCGTATCTTTAAAACTACCAAGCTACATAATAATACAAACAAAATTAACGTACAATAGACCAACTAAAGCGTCTATGTGTAGAAAATTGGAGCCATCTAACCTAACCTAACCTAATCTATAACCAATCTAAATTAAGAATATTGTACTTAGGCGATGCAATGCAGGAAAACTGATTATATATTGATTTGGAACTATCCATAAATGAAAACTTTTAAGAGCGAAAATAAATCTGCAGTGTGTGAACACGAGGACCCTAGCATTACATAAGATTTGACAATCCAAAAATACTTGCGGCTGACCAAAAATTCATCGCGAGGCTACTGAAATAAAAAAAATATCCGAATTTTAATACAGATGAAGGTTGGCATATACCACCGGCTTGCGATCCAGTAATTAGTAAAATAAAATCTCAATCCAGATCACACATTGCAAAACCAAAAGATCCAGTTAGTTCAATCTGTAAATATTAAATCAAAGGGAGCAATTCACTTTTCTTATCTGAGTTTGTTTCGCCAGTTCTTCTCAGACAAGACTCCCAAATTTGGAACTGTACCTGCAGCCAGAGGTAAATAAATAAGTTAAATCTATTTTTAAAATTATTTAATTTAATAAATGTCAACGTGGCCATGAAATATAAAAATGTTGTATTGTGAATGTTTCACATAGTATACTGGTTTATAAAAACAATCTCTTAATTAAAAAGACAATCAACTCCTTAGTCTTATATTAATACGGAACCGGTAAAGGGTCCATGATGAAACCGTTTAAAAGTTGCTTCATTTATGATTAGATATATTAATTGTTGATTTTTTATGATTTGTTCTAATATATTATTATATAGTTTTATTATTACATAATAATAGTTAAGTGATTTTCATTTAGTGATTCAAATACGAGGCACAATATATTAGCCTTGAGAAAACGAATTTGTTTTCGATTTCCACTAAATATTATGCTTTATAATGACTTCTCTGAATATAATTCGGTATCTTTAAAAAGTTTTGTGGTATTAAACTTTTGTATGATATATAAATAACTACAATTTTCAAATGAAACTCATTTCACTTATCTCATTGATCAAAAACACGGTCATTAGATCTTCTGACATTAAAAATGAAGTATACTTACTTATCTCCCCTGCATTACTTTCTCCATACGTAGAATTATTTGAAAGTTTTCGTCCAAAAGCGTCACCAACACAAATCCCAATAAATAAAAAGCTAATGAAACTCCACATTTTACTAAACTGCTTACTTTGGTTCAGGTTATAACTAGTTCTAAGATGTTAAATAAAGAATTTTGCCTTTATAAAAGGTCTATACAGGTAGTTAACATCACCATATGCGGATTTTAACCGCGAGGTTATGCTGGTTATAGGACAACTAGAATTGAATATGGCAAAGTACGAAAGACTCTACTTATCAAAGGCTTTGTATAATATTGTGTAAGATAATAATTTATAAAAATTCACAATTGTTTTGTTTTCTGGAACCTCATAGACCAAAGCCGAGCCACCTTTAAAGGCTTTTAATACTTTTTATGAAATTGATTCATGAAATATATTACCTTTATTAAAGCAAAGCTACTAATAACGTATTGCTAATATGATAAGCCGAAATGCTATATAAATAACAACTAAAGCTTACTAAGCAAACAGTGGGCATCTATATTATTATTTATATATATAACGCCAGTACTGCTAAATCATTTATAATTAATCTTTATATACTATGTATAATGTTCATACATTCAATGTTATTTAAAAAATAACCGATTAGTTCAATCATAAAAATTAATATATAATTTAACTATTATATAATAAAGACTTTTTAATCACCAAGTTCAAGATATCAACATAAAAAACATTATTACTCGGAATGTTAATGTTTCACCTCTAGTTGGTAATGTCCGTTGTAATAATTGTTGGAACCCTGACTTATTCAACAATAAATAAACACATTTTAGGTCATGTTTATACTCGCTTATGCGTGTATGTTTGTTAACTTCCAGGGTAGTCAGTTTTTTATCAATGCAAATATGTACAGTAGAAGCTCCTTATTCACGGTTACATTATTGGCGTTTTCATTATTTGTCGGTGAAAAATTTGTACCCGAATTTCTGTACTCGCGGCTAAAATCTGCGTATTCGCGGATTTAATCGGTGACATAAAGGAATTCAGTGTCGTTTATTAACGCATCGCCATCTTTTAAATACTTCGGGTATATGTCAGGGTGGCTTTTACAACGCCTTATAATTTTTGCTTCGTTGTAGCATTCATGAAATACTTAAAAAAAAAGCTACATTATAAACGCTACGATTACTTAGTTATGAATCTAAAATTAAAGATCTTTAAATACTGGATATAAAGATAATTGATAAAATTAAAAAAAAACTTATTTTAAGCTGACAATAAGGATTGATTTTAATTGGTACTTCTTCAATAATCTTACCTCAATTTTATATATTTTGACATACATATTGCTTATATTTAGGAACTTTTGAACGTATCCCCTATTATTCTATACTTAATGCCATCCCGTATTCGCGATTCACGGTATATTTAAGTAGCTTCTACGTATATGAAAAACCATTTTTATTGCTTATTCTAAGGCTTAAAAATGGAGAGTTATTTTTATTTGATCAATTTTGCATTATGCTTAATCATAAGTCCCGAGTGCCCGAGATGGGATGGGATGGGACTGATACTTTTTTTAGGCTTTTTAATCAACATTAATACTAATGGAAAATTCTTATATAAAAGGTTAAATCAATGAAAGACCGATACGTATATGAAATTTTATGATATCTAAACCTTATAATTTACAATAATTTATATAGTATATACATATGCATAGAAAAACAGGTACATATAGTATCTTTGGTGACAAAACAATTGATTTCAAATGAGCTTATGTCAAATTAAACGAGATAACATGAAAATATGCATGAAGTTTTCTAAAATAAGGTTTAATTTTAGGGAAAAGAAAATGGATTTTATGTTCCCATCAACATTAGCGGCATGTTATTAATATATATTTAAGAAGATCACTTAATAACAATCCGTTAATTTTAAGAAAGTTTACATAAAAGTCTACCAAGTACCACTTATTAAACATATTATAAGTAGCAGTATATCACAACCTAGATATTTCTTGACAAAGAAAATTATTATAAACACTTATTTTACATTACACCACTTTAGCTTTAAATGACACCAATAGTTCATCTTTGTGCAGAACATAACACTAGGATTTCACAAGGAACTATATTAGGTATACTTTTTTTTATTACTTTTTGTCAGTTAGGACTTCTTTTAGGGGTATGGCTCCCAAAACTTTGTTGATGAAGGCTTTTATTACAGCTGCACTCGTCTCCTCGATAAGAGGATTCAAGATATCCAAAACGACACCTGGACTAGCGTTGAAGAATGTTGCGGCTGACACGGCTGCAAAAAACAAATCATATAATTTTCTTAATGTATATACATTAAATACATACAGCTATGGTCAGCAAAAAACTCCTCAACAAAATTATATTGATATGCCTACAATTAGAAGAAAGTAACCCAATATCAAATTGTGTCTCTAATACGGAATAACGAAATTCCTTCTTAATCTGTTTCTAAGTGGGAAAAATTTGTAAATTGTTAATAGGTCCAGCAAATCTGCTTGCAGATTCGATTGTTCATGAAAAATAATTTAGGAAGTAATTTGAGTATACCATATTAGGAATAATATTCTATAAATTGGTAACATGTCTCCCTAACTCTCGAGTTCTCCCTTTGACTATTTTATCATTTCCTATTAATTATTATTATTTCTTATAAAAAAGTAAAACACAACCATGCCAGTATCGATTATCATAGTTTGTCAATCTTAGATATTTTAATGAAATGTCCAAGAACTACATTTCTCTCTTAGCAAATCTAATAAATTTTTATGGTTGTTGAGAAGTTATTATCAAAGCGTAACGGCTAATATTGCAAGAAGTTACGGACATGGTCGGAATAAATTTTCTTAAAAACGACGTTGGATAATAATCAAGACTGTTTTGCAATCAATTGTAATAACAGGGCTCTTATTATGAGATATTTTTATTATCATAATTTTAGTTATGCCTTTGTGGTTGCATTTTGAAATTATTCGAACATGACATTTGAACGTAGTGTACACTGGAAGGAATGACATTCAGCATTTAATATATAAGATTGTGAAAACTTTAGAAGGAGAGAATAAATCCTAACCTGATGAGCTCAAAATGACTATACCGAAATGTTTTGGATATTTTTAAGCAGTTGTCAATGTCTTAAATTTTTTTCTATTATCACCTGCAACTGGCCGTTCCGTGTCATCAATTGCCACTTGTCCGTGACCAATTTTAACTCTTGTGATCACCTTCTCAGCCTGTAGGTACTCTACACCTTCCTTTTCTAACGGCTTAGCGATACCTTTGGCTATCACAGTTATTCCAGCTGAAATTATAAAAGAATCTTAAATATCACACGATTTCTTGTAAATTCGTACATTTATTGTCAAGGAAAATATGTAGTGTTTTAAAATTATTTATGGTTATTGAAAGGCTCTTTTTTGAAAACAGAAAGTATACGAATCAAATTATACAGAATAATCAAAACGATGCTTAGTGAAATATTTCTTATTACCAATAGTTAACCGAGCGTGTAGAAATAGTTAATTAAATATTCATTGAAATCTTGTAACTAGTCTTCGTTTGAATGCAACTGTGCTGAAGTTGCACAAAATATTTATGGACTCGGCGGGGCCACTATCAGAGCGCGACTAAGGAACGGAATACCGGTGACTGGTTCGGTGCACGCTGGGCTGGACATTGGTATCCGGGGCTATCGGGGTGAGGGATTCACGAGGGTTCAGCCCGTGTGAATTCCCTCTCTTAGACGGGCAAGGGTGGGAGATGCTCAAGTTGCGCATCTCCTGCCTTTGACAGGGGGCAAGTCTGGCGGGTTAGCGCGCTCGCCAGGCATTGCACGCTCCTTGTCCTGTCTGGGGTTGGACTCGAATGTTCCTGAGCCCTTCCCTAACCCGAGACGGGACTCGCCCTGTTAAGGGGTGGGTCGAGCGGGGACGGCATGCGCGGGAAGTGGTCCCGTTGGGGACCGTTACCCGCGCGCTGATCCTCCGCAGTGAGGGACATCGCTGAGTTTTAGTGGGTAGGCCTCTGCTCTTTGACCAGTCCCATTCTGGGGTTGGTCCGCAGGGGAGAGTCCCACATAACCCGTGGAGCTCGCGCAGGGTAAAGCGGGTATGCGGAATGCATTTCTCAGCGGATTGTATTCATTCTACAAGATGAGTATTCATTTGTTCTTATCTTCGTATATTTCTCTTATGAATCTTTGTCTTTCATAATATAAGTTCTACAATTCTATTTACTTCCATATTCTTTTACTCTCGCACAAGTTAATTGTTAAATTTGATTATTGTTTCGACTTTACAATGGTCTATTTATAAATGTACTTTTGATGTTATAATATTATTACCTACAAGCTTTTTGTCGTGATTTTTTTTAGTATATCGCACACCTAGATCTAAACTAAGACACTCAAAAAACTAATGTGGAGATCTGACAATACATTTGTTTACATGGCACGAGCGTAACCACTGTTGATTCAGCAAAAAAAAAAGCTAAAGTTGTCTAGCGGCTCACCCCCGAAACTTTTTTGAATCTGTTATGTTGGATAGATGCGTATGATGACCGAGTATTTGAATATTGTACTGAGTAAAACTCACTCAAATTTTTGAGTTGTCTCAACCCAAGATATACTCCTCTAAACCCCATGATTTTCTGGTTCAGCATATTCTTGAACAGTTTTTCATAACACAAACATACTAAATATCGTGTATAATACTTGATATTCAAGCGTTTTCGGATATAATATTATATCATTCAGATAATATGTTAGCAAACACAGTTCTCTACAATACGATAGAACAGATTTCTGCCCAAAATCGAGAGTGACGCGGAAACGTAAACAATATTGTTACAGTTAACACTAGTTGCAGGCGTATAATTACCGGCACTTTACGGCTATGATTAGTATTACGTCACAATTAGCTCTCGATCTGTTGGCGGTCGAAATGAGATAATTCTGTTGCAGTGTTTATGTAAGCACGCGCACCCATGCTCCGCGACATTTTTATGTAACAGGTCGAGGAACTTTGCTGCACTAATTAATAAGGACTATTTATTTTTGACAGTGACACAATAGTCAAGTGAGTAATGCAGTTTCACACGATTTCTCGTTAGTGCCAGCCATCAGAATTATCATCAATTAGCTCATGCTCGTCTTAAATATTGGTTGCACCAACGGAGTCTTAAACTGACAAATGCCATCGAACATTTATAGATCTATCAGTGACATTTACGCACTAAGTATGTCAAACATATATCTACAGCTGTAATGATTGGACAAACTACAATAAGAATGCAATATCCGGACAAAACAACAATTATTCGTATGCATGCATGCGTTTTGGGGTATTGTCTTGGAAAATAATAGGTACTTAGATTTGCATAGTTAAAATGGATTTGGTGATTTAATATCTTATAATAGTTTCAATGTTAGATGCATGAAAGATAATGGTTTGTTTGGCAGATAAGTATATGAAGCGCATTACGCTGAGGATCAACTTTGGACTCCTTGCTGGATTTGAGTGGATGTTTTCCGGCTGATATGATGATGATGACCAAATCAAAGCCTGAAAAACTAAAATGTTGATATTTACCAAAACATTTTTTGACTAATTTGTCAATTGAGATTCGGTGTAGTATAACGTTGTGATTATCACGTTCGACCTGTGATTGTGGAGGTGGACTCTTCTATGGAATCTAAGCAACTTTCATCGGGTGGCCGATTGTTTTCAAAAATACGTTATCTTCGGCTGCAATTGCAGTCTAATATGCTAAGCCGCGACTGCCGTCGGGTTTTTTGTTCCGGCCTTGATACATTAAATCAAAAAATTATCAATTATTTTTTTTATATATATATTTGATAAATTTTGCATTCACAATGCTGTACTGGAAATTATTCTTAATGAAAAATGCTTAATACATTCACCAGCCCCATGTAATCTGAGATGAAACTCGAATCCACGAACTTTCGCAATTCGGATGACTGCTCTCGAGTCCTATATAATCTCGGGTTATATTATCTCATAACTTTTTGTCTATTTTATGTGAATATAGTTACAGTTTGTGCAAACTTAATAAATCTCTCTTTCTCTTTCTCTCACTGATAAGACTGTCAATATCTTGTTTTGTACATACATTAAATCAAAAACACTGGAATTAAGTTTTAGTACACTCATGATACACCGATATTCATCAGCGTATAATAGTAACCTGTAATGCTATTCTAAAAAAAATACAGAGCAGATACAGCGCTCTCGTAGAATTGGAGGTTATAATAAATAAAATCTATTTCAAAAGTTAATAAAGAGTGTATTTTATTGGAAATGTTAATCGGGATAGCGCTGTGGTCAACGCTGCGTTCGACAGTGTATTTTTACAAAATATTAATGTCGATGTCACCATAATTGATGTTAAAATTCACTTACAACATATGCATAAAGTTTCGTACTTTGATGTTGATGACCCAAAGATTAGTTTCCTTTCTTTACCAACTGTTAAATGATGAATAATATTTTTTAAACGCAATCGTGAACGACACAAGATATTTTTCATTATAATAAACACACTTGTGAATTTTTCGTTTGTAAATTGATGCTTTAGAGATTAGACTTTAGGTAGGTAGTATCTAGTCGGCCTCGACCTGCTTGCGATGCCTTACTGTAAAGTTTACTCAGATGTCATTTTAAATTGAAACATAGCTTCAAATTAGGTGTAATATATTCAAATATTTCCTTTTTCGAGTCGAGAAATATTGTTTAATTAGCTCTTTTTTCGTAATTTTTTTTATGGGATAGGGGGCAGACGGGCAGACGGATCACCTGATGGTAAGTGATTACCGTCGCCCATGGACACCTGCAACACCAAAGGGGCTACAAGCGCGCTGCCAGCCTTTGAGGGACGAATATGATCATAGATCATAGGGGTAGAGGGAAGGGATTAGGGAGGGGTTGGGCCTCCGGTACCCTCACTCACACGACGAAACACAACGCAAGCGTTGCTTCACGTCGGTTTTCTGTGAGGCCGCGCCCGCGTTAATCATAGCCTTAACTAAGTTTTTTTGTCTAAGCTTCATCATATGCCACGTGCATATGATGTAACTTTCCTTAGACAAAAAAACTTTTAAAATCTGTCCAGTAGTTTTGACATATATTCGATACAAACAAATAATCAAGTTTTTCCTCTTAATAATATTGGTATAGATGTCCCTAATATTCAACCAATGTGTATAAGTACTGTGATCTAGTATTATCAGAAAGAAAAATGCTTAATTTTTATTTCCATAATATAACTTTTACCTATTAAGCGAATAAATTTTTTTAAAGTTTTACGGCCAGTTGCACAAACGTCCATTAAAATTTTCATTTGTTTATGTGACATTACCCATACAATTTTGACATTCATTAGAGCTTAAAAACGACATTAAACCTTAATGGACGTTTGTGCAACTGACAATTAAACTCATTGTAACTTGCGTGGTCACTGCCATATAAAAAAAATCACATAACAAAGATGTTGATCGTATGACTATCATATTATCGTTATATTTACATATCGAAAATATATATCACTTTCATCATCTTTCATTATCTATCAGTGACATTTACGCACTAAGTATGTGCATCATCAGTCCATTAACGTCCCTCCAGATGGGGCACAGGGCTTCCCTACAAATGGAACGGTTAGAATCACAAGAATATTTTATAAGGAGAGCAGGTTTGTAACGTAACCAAGCAGAAATCAGGCTTAGCGTGACTTTCGATTTCGAAGCACGGAAAACTTGAGATAATGAAACCGTTACCCATCCTAAGACCAGCCCTTGCAAGAGTTGCTTATTCTCCGCAATCTCCTCGTAGCAGACTGAACCAAGTTGACTCCTTCCAATGTTAACATTGCCGTTGTGTTAGTTATGTTATGGAACAAAATCTTGAAGGTAGATGTTTTTCCCGCGACCTCGCTTGCGGTAATTGTGTCAGATGTAACTTTCCATAGATAAAACATTTTTAAAATCGATCCAATAGTTTTGGAGCCTATTTAATACAAAGAAACAATCAAATCTTTCCTTTTTATAATATTAGTACCTATACATAAGTAATAAAAACTTTTTCCTTTGTATTTTATCATAGATATATTTATCCCTTAAGACCTATTTTTAAAGGAGATCAGAATGGCAAGTGTAATGTTAACGTTAACGCGTTCCCTAGTGAGCGCGTTAAGAATTTGTATAGAGATTGGTAGTTCTGCGTTCACGAGATTGGTAGTTCTCGGTAGTTACCGCTAAAGACGCTATGCTGATTTCCATGCTAATATTTTAACGCACTCAAGATCGATGGTAAACGTAAACGTCAAAAAAAAATTATACTTAGCGCGCTGCCGATACGAACTCTGACAACATAGTAATGGCTTCCCCCTTAGATTATATAATATCGCTTCTCCTTAAATGAGATTTTATGTAAACAATGATCCTAGACTCGTAGAATATTCTAATCTTCATTTCTATTGAACTGAGAAGGTTTTTGATTTAAATAGCATAGTATATATTATTAAAGAAAAGAAATGCGGTGCAAAATTTTGTGACCATGTAATCCTTTCAATGCATTCATGTATGTATTAATGCATGTACATGTAATGGGAGGAATTGTACTGTAAACTTATTTTTGCCAACTGCAAGACATCAGAGTAACTTTATAATATGAATCTGCTAAAAATTATCTGTTTTATATTACCATTCAATATTTTATAACTTCAATAAGTAAAGAATATCACCCAAGAACACGAATATTTATTAACTTATTGTAGTTAAAAGGTATGGAATGGTAAGATAAAACAGATAATTACTAGCAGATTCATATTATAAAGCTACTCTGATGTCTTGCATTTAATAGTTTAAATAGCGTAAAATTAATACTTAGGACAGCTATTACTTCAATGCAAACGTCTGTACACGATAATTAATATACGAAGAGTGAGTGCGGACTGCGCTCTGCAAGGTTGTATATAGCGGGTAGTATCACTTTTATGGGTTATTTAAAAATAAACTATATTATATTTTTTAAATATCGAATAAGAGGCTTTATATCTCCTATACCTGTGTTAAAAACAACAAACTTATTTGATTAAATTAGATTTTTTAAAACTGACGGACAGTTTTCATCTTTCACATTGATGTATTTTTTTTTTCGGTATATTACTATCATTCGATGTTATTGTATTCCGAAAATAGGATAGTTAAATCTGTCAATATATTTAACATGAAAATTTTGCATTTGCAATTTTTGATTCTTATTCATAGATATCCGCGACTCTACTGTATTACTCAATCCCTGATTAATCTGTCAAAGTGAAACCTGATCTGGTCGACAGATCAACTATTAAAAGGCTTATAATAGCAAAGCTGTTATAACAACATAACTAAACTAACTTCAAAATTGTTTGTATGTGACTGTTTATTACCTGAATAAACAAATAATACCGTGAAGTCTTGTGGTCTCTAACCCGGAAGAATCAGATGGGATATCATTAGTAAAAATTAAATATGTAAATCATTAGTGCTAGTAATGTATTCTTACATTGAAATTAACAAAAATGTTTTTCTTTTTATTTTAATTGTGGGTGTACGTTTTTGCGTAAAGGTTTTGTTCTCATTTGCTTAATTTTTAAAAATAACACTATTAGATACGGTGTAGTGGAACTAATCAGAGTTCTATTAAATTTGAATGGTATTTTTTTTGTTTACCCATTAAGAGTTCCGTAGTTTAATAAAAATCTTTCGTGGTATCACGAGTTAATAGGAAGATAACATAGACTCAGAATGAATACTAAAATGAGAAAACGACTATAAACAATATAAATATATAGTGGAATATAACTATACAATTACATATATATATACTCTATTTATACCTACTTATAAAAATATGATTGTTGTATGCAGTTAGCGAATTAAGAGATAAAAATTTAGGTTTAAAAAGGTTAAAAAGGTTTTAGTGCTTTTTATGTTAAATAACAGGTTTGATTATTATTATCAAAAAAGAATTTAAAAATATACATTACTTGTATCATTAACGAAAGCTACCAAACTTGCGCAATAAATGCTTTTATATTTTTCTTCCAAAACTTACTGCACATAATTTAAACTGTATACGGAAGATAGTTTTCCGGTAGGAGTCTACATAAACCATGTAAACTCCTACAAAAAACCAACACTGCAAAGTATTAGATGGTAAATTGACGAACAGTTTGCTATCACTACTGGAAGACATTCTAAAATAAAACTCACTAGACGGCGACTATATTTGACATATTTCTGTCAATTCTCGTCCGGAAACTATGACATCTAAATGCAAAAAATAAGAATAAGACATATAAAATAACACTTATTTTCGAAACTTAATATTAAAATAAAGACGAAGTCTAAAAATAGACGACGCTCATTATTAGTGTTCGAAATTCAGTTCGTTTTAATTTACAGAAAATCGGAAAGGATATCAAAGACAATTGAACAAAACACTACAAATATTTCAAACAGACACTTTTTTAAGAAATCCCATTAACGATTTTACTAGTAAAAAATCCAACTAAAATACATTCTCACTCCTTTTGCACTCAAAATCCGTCATTGTAGTGTACCAAAACGAGATTAAAAGAGAATTTCTCGCTTCAGGGTTTTTTTATTTTGTTTCTGTAATCATAAAGCCTATTAAAGTCTTATGATCCTCATGAATATAAAAACTAGATTTAGGTATTATTGTTTTATGAAAAAAAAAAGTTTTTTGATAATGCAAATGAAAACTCTCGGCCTCGCCTCTGCCATTCAAAATAATGCGTGCATCGCGATGTAACTAACGATCTTTTTTTATATTAATAAGTCTTTACCTATAAAATTGCCGTTCTGCCGTACTTACATTTACGTACGTACATTTCAAATCTAAATATTTATTTGACTTTTATTTTATTTTAAAAACATTAAATTCTTTTTTCTTAAAACGCCATTAATAGTTAGAGTTTTGTTTTCAGCGTATTCGACCATTTTTTGTCGTCATGGATAAGTTAAAAATTCAAGTAATTATGGAGTATGAGCACCGTTGTGGCAGCAAAGCATCACAAGCGGCACGTTATATCAACGACATTTACGGAGCGAACACTACAAAATTTTAACCTGAAAAATGAACCCGTGGTCGTCCCAAAACTTTAATCGACAATGACGAATTAAAGGCGATTGTGGAAGCTGATGAAACTCAATCTACGGCTGAATTAGCAGCAGCTTTCGACATTAGCATCAAAACAATATTGGTCCATTTGCGTCAAATTGGCAAGGTAAAAAAGTTTGACAAATGGGTACCCCACGAACTCAATGATCGCTAGCGCAAAGTACGAGTCGAGGCGTGTCTTGCACTTAACAGGCATACAAATGAAGGAATTCTGAACTGCATTGTCATTTGTGACGAGAAATGGATGCTGTTCGACAATCGTAAGCGCTCAGTCAGTTGGTTGGACCCTGGTTCAGCACCCAAGCAATGCCCTAAACGAAACCTTACCCCTAGAAAAGTGATGGTCACTGTTTGGTAGTCTAACGTAGGTGTAATTCATTACAGCTTCTTACCGAACGGGACGAGCATTACTGCAGATGTTCTGTGAAGAACTGAACACAGTGATGGAGAAACTCGCACGTCTCCAACCAGCTTTGGTCAATCGTTCGGCTCCACTGCTCCTGCACGACAACGCGCGACCTCGTAGTACACAAAAGACGGTCTCCAAGCTACAAGGTTGGAAGTTCTCCGTCATACGCTGTACTCACCAGACCTTGCATCTACAGACTTCTACATTTTCCAGAATTTGGATAACTTCATACCAAAATGCCTTTGAATAATTTGTTTCCTCCCGTTCAGCTAATTTCTTCAAGAAGGGCATCAATAAGCTACCAATCCGTTGGTTTGCTTTGATTAATAGAAATAAAAATATACGCTTAATTTATTTCATGAATAACGGCAATTTCATAAATTGAATCAGTATTTTTTTAAGAGTTACTGAGATGAGATGAGAGACCTTTATTTATTATAGATGGAAGAAAAAACAATGACACAATTTTCAATCTGTTGTCGTCAAAGTTACAAGACTAAATGTCTTGTAACTTTTATTGCCTCTATAGCTGAATGGCTCGCTCGGCGGTTTCCGATCGCATAAATACAGCAAAACTTAATTTTGTTATATTGTTTCTTTCCTCACCACTTGTGCCTGCATTGCTTAAAATTCCCATAATATAAGGTAAAATGTATGTGATGTTGGGTAATATTTCTAGGAAATTTTACTGTGAAAGCGTTATTATTTATAATAGAAATAATACCGAGTATTATTATATACTGAGATTGTTATTTTGCATTAGATTGGTCCTGATACTACCGGTCCGATTTTACAAATACTTTCACCAACGGGACGCTACATCCTACGCTAATAACATAGGGTATAATTTACGCGGGCGAACTCTTGGGAAATAGTCGCTAATAAAGCGATTTATTTAGTAAAGGCTTAAATAAATGAACACAATTATACGTATATTTTTAATACCTACTCGTATACGACATTCGAATTGCCATTAAAAGTGAATTACTGCCAATTATCACACGCCACGCAGTCAATTCTATATGTAAATCAACATTTGAAGTTACCATAATAACATTATCCATATTCGTATGTATCGTATTTATAAAATGAGATGATGATGAAGTGTATGATAAGGATCAGGTTGCGAGTGATAAATTTAAAAAAAACCGTACAATATAACATTATATGTCTATATCAATGTCTGACATTACCCGATGTCGTCTCGATTTTTCTTTAATCGTATGCGAATTCTGAGTTATTAATATATTAGTTAAATAAAAGAAGTCTTAATTATGTACGTGAACGTGAAATAATCGCATCTCAATAGAGTCTTAACTAATTGCAATTTGCCAGCGTAATATAGATAGTAGACCATCAGGTAGACCTGAAGTCCAATATTGTAAGTGCAACGTACTCCATCAATGATGATATTATTTTCTGATCTAGGACCAAGAACTGCATCATAAAGTGTTATAGTTGAAGTGCTATTGATTCTTATCTTTACTTTTCCATAATTACGCTCAAATTAGTAGAATTGCTCTACAATTTCTTCATTTAAGCTTCCATACTTATGAATAATGTGTAATTTAAAAATCTTTCATAAAATCATTCAATACATTTTACTTAGCTCATAGCCAAGTTCATTAATAATTATATACAAGCAAGAGCAAACTTATTCTAAATGAAAAGGGCATGTAATATGCTTATTCTTTATTTTTTATGTACAATTATACAATAATTAATTGATATTATATATAAAATAAACTAAACTGTAAGCTACTGTCTAAACACCCTAATATTAAATCTAACCATTATCAAAAATATTTGTTTTTTTTTACAAATATCAAGCCTCAATTCGTTCGTGTTTAAAATACAGAACTAATAAAGAAAATTATTATCACATTTTAATGGATTTGACCCATCGATAGACAGTTAGGTTTTATGTGAGAAACTAATGATTTGTACAAAACCACTCATTTGAAAATTACAACACAGTATCTTTTAAGAATTTACAATATAATTTGTAATTGCCAAATATAATAAGCATAAATAAATGTATTGGATCCTACATAACCAGACCGATTTTCTAAGTCATGGTTATAGTTGTTTATTACAGCACAGACATTTGTTCATAGAATTTCGTTTCACATAAAATGTTTCGCATATTTCATTCGAACAATACGCAGACTTAACTTTTTTAAACATCGAGTAAATGCTTTTGGCACTGTCCCATTCGATTAAAGGAGTATGTGGGACTTTTCTCCGTGGACCCAACGTAACGTAATATTCTATTGAGCTTGTTTCTGATGGCAGATAGATTTCAAAATGTTATATTTTTAGTTGAAATAAGATACAACAGAAAATCACACCAAATAATATGTGTTCAAAAACAATTCTACTGTTGATGAATTTGTAAATTCGAATAATGAGATCTTATATTTCATTCAAGTGTGGTCGTTGAAACAATAATATTAAAAAAAAAAATAAGAAGATCGAAAATTTTATGAAACATTTCTGCAAAACAAAATTATATGAATTTTTTATTTAAATATTTGTTTATTTAAGGGGATAAATTCGGTTTATATTAAGTATAGAATGAAATAGAAATACCGATGACGGTTAAAAATAAGGATTCGACGGGTCGCAATCATCAGTTTCACTTAATAATAAAATATTTCAATTTCTTACGAAACATTCGTAACCACAAATAATCCACTTTGATATAATACATCACGGGAATAACTCTTTGTACGTGAATTTAGAAGTTATTTTGTTAGCCATCTCTCTAAAGAGTTCCCCAAGGGAGCGTTCTAGGACCGGACTTATTTCTTGTAGGAAAACTTGTGAGTTCTCGTTTATTACGCGATTGGTGGCGGGGCCTAGTACCGGGTCGCCGTCGAACAGGTTGGTGAGGTAGATGGATGACTGGCCCACGCGTAATTTAACTTTTAACGGATCAAACTGCAAGTATTCGTCTTCTCCGCGCATTTCTTTATGTCCCTTCATGGTGACGTTGCATGCGTAGTCCTCTGAAATATTAAAAAATATATATATATATATTAATGTTACAAAGTCTAATATTTATGATAACTTTAATTTTATAAATTACAAAAGAGGTAACATTTATATAATTAATTATTATTGAATCAGAGATCATTACATCGATGAGTGGAGGTAACATAGACAAACATTTTTTGACATTGACATTTACAAGCTTAACAAGGAAAGGGGGACCACAGAGAAACCAGGCTTCAATATCTACCACAGTTACTTAGTATGTACTTTAGTGTAGTGGATTAACGAGCCCGGTAACTTGACTTTTTTTTTAACAAATATGATATAACGACGTAAAAATCATTCGTAAAAAATTTACCGACCGTAATAAGATTTTTGCATTTCCATTTGCCTTTGCAGGTTCATTGGAGCTCGGTAGCGCAGTGGATAGCCCGTTCGGGCTGCGATGAGGAGTTTAATCAACATTCGCAAGGGCTCGTCATTAAATTTATTAGCTCAAGCTCCCTGTGTTTCAGAAGGCACGCTAAGCCATTGGTCTCGGCTGTAGTCATTTTACGGGATCCACGCAATGGATTCATTGCCCGTTCATATTATTGGATTCTCATACATTTTTTTGAAAAAATTGGGCACATTTTTGATAAAATTATTCCAGGCTTAGGCATCCCTATTGCTGTTGCTCAGGCCTTATTTATGAACGGCATTTAAAGTGCCTTCAAAGCAAAGCACAAAAGAACTCGGGGTATGTTATTAGCCAATCGGGCCTTGGATTTTTCCTTAACCTCTGAATTGCAGACCGAACGCACTATAAAACTCTTCGATATATTTAGAATATCAACCCGTTGGATATGCTTGGCACAAAATACTTATGAAGATAAATGTCGTTACTCTAAAGTTAAATGTTTCACACGCTCATTCAATTCGAGATTAACAAAGTAATGAAAGAAATTGTGAACAGAAACTAATCAAAAAACATCCTCAGCAAGTATTTGTAAAGAGTAATACACGAGTGATTACATAAACGTAGAGGCAGGTAACCCAGCTGAACTAGTATTTGCACCAGCGCGACGTTTGACCTCAATGTCGACAGCATAGTACCATCTTTAAGTCACGATTTTTATATGAAACCCAGGATATGTAAGTTTCATTTGAACCTTTCATTGATTCAATTATAATTGACACTGAAGCCAAAATATGGATTCGAACTAATTAAACACAAAAAAAACTTGCTGTGTCTAATTTATCAAATGCTTTATATAAATTAATACAAAAACTTAAATAGTTTTTATGGAAATCTAAAATTAAATATCAGAAAAGGTATAAAGGTATAGATGAATAATAGTTTAGATAATAAAGAAGAATACTAATGTGCATTTACATAAAAAACAATGGAAATCAGCTAAACATAATTCAAAAATTATTGAAACAGCAAAGTTTGTAACGTTGTGACCGCAATATCGAAACACTTGATACTATCGAATCGGTTGGCTGAATATAACAATACGAGTTGCTTCAAACACGTGACTCACATTATACAACTGATTAGTGCTTGTAAATATACTTACCTACGCACGTTATACGAACGACTCACAACATTCCTGTTCATTCACTAATCTGAGACAATAAAATCTATTTTGATAACTATATAAAGAAAATTAAGTAGTTTTACGATGGCTTTTAACTTTTAATATTACGATTATTATTACCTAGACCTATTACGGTTACTTAATGGTTATCCACTAAGATATGTATACTTAACGTAACGTTTACTGTAGAATTCAGGGGATGAATTTAACGACAGCTATAAACTATTGACTTCACTGCTAAGGTTGCAGGAAACGTGAAGCGGCATCATGAATATATAATTTAACAAATTATAGTTTACATTACTTTATCTTTAAGCGAAGACCTGTAATTGGCTGTTTTTGTAAAAAATATCAATTTGTATTGTTAGCTGTTGATCAGCCAAGATAATAAATAAATTAATTAATTACCCCACGCCATTACGCGCTCTGCAAACGAAACGCTAGAATTAATCGTGTATATCAGTCATCGTCCTGCCTATTAATGTTCTCATTGCCCTATGGACGGAATCGAATCAAATCGAACAGAAAGAATGGGCCATGACCAACCACGCGGGCCCATTGCGGATTGATGGGTATTAAACAACACAAAAACAACAGCTTAATTTGCGTAACAACCGTATCGCAGACCGAGCGCCTTAGTAGAAAATGTATTCATTAACTAGAAGTATTTTCGTCATCAGCCTATTATGTTCCCACTACTGGAACATAGTCATATTTTAACCATAAAAAATATATTATTGGATTATTTGTAATATAAGAAATATGAAAAATATCTATAAATTACTATGGGTTAAACATATTTTTAGTTACATTTTATGTAGGAATAAATGTTTTTGGTTAATAGGTGAGTTGTGACAGAGGTGAGTTGTGACAAGGAGGATTTCTCTCTACGTATTATAGTAAGCGAGATGGCATTAACGCTTGTTTGTCGTTCTCGACACGCGCTACACGACTCAGTACCTGTCGACGGTGCATGTGGCACAGTTGCGTAAATATATCGTCAGTGTACAAAAAATTACGAAAAGTAAGTTTTTCTTCAAAATATTATTTGAATATATATCATATCTTAGTATATGTGCATTGATGTGTTATTTTTTCTTAAGTTATGTAGTTATTTAAGTCTCAATACGTGGCACTGATTTTTTGTATGCGCATCGTGTTTAGAAAATATGAATTATTATTCGGACCAAGACGTCATTTTGAACACCTAGGAGAGTTGTGACAGCCTGTCACAACTCTCCTAACTTACTCCAAATTTCTGCTGGGCTATTTTTACATTTTTTTTATTAACTTTAGATGTTTGTTGGTGTGTTAGTAGCTACTTAAGGTGTATAATGGCATACCGCATACTTATTTTTTTGAGAATACCAAATAACTATACACGAGAGACTGAAAATCTAAGAATGTTAAGAAGCGTGTCTTAAGCGAAGAAAAAAAAAGAAACCTAAAAAAGCAAAGAAGACTAATAAGAAGAATAGAACAAGTGATGAAGAAGATGTAGAAAATAATTGCTTTTATTTGGTTTGCCTTGAAGCCTATGCAGACAGCAGATCGAATGATCAGTGGGTCCAAAGCCTGGAATGCAAAGGCTAGGCACAGTTAGATTGTACTGGGGACGAACTTCATTACGTTTGGCATAAATGTGAATCTGATTAGATTAAGATTTTATACTGATGAGAATATTCTCATAACAAGTAATTATAATATTTTCATTAACTAAATATTGTATCGCTTTGAGATCAATCATATTATTGTAGTATTAATATTAATACTATGTTGTTTTAGTTGGTAGGTATTAAAAGATGATTAATCAAATCAAATCAATCTTTATTGTTGATCGCAGGTTATATAAAGATATTGGATGCAAGGACTGAATAGTTACACCGTGATCTGCCTAAAAAGCATACAATATTTGTAGGTTAGTAATTGTCAACTAATCTAATCAATAACATGTTATGTCAAAAATTCAACTAATTCATTAAGTATTTATACATTTACAAAGTACTGTCAGCTAGATACTCGTTTACACTATAATATGTTTTAGCTACTAATAATTTATAAAGTTTTCTTTTAAAAACATTACAATTATCCAGATTACGTATTGTTTTTGGAATTTTATCAAAAATTTTTGGAGCCATACAAAAGATACTTTTGTTCAACTGAGCTGTCTTAGAGGGTATCGTACACAATTTGTCTCGATGACGCAATCTCGTCTTATTTTCAAATAGTTGTTGATCCTGTTTGACAAAAATACCAACTTCGAATATATAGATTGATGGCAGGGTCATAATATTTAGTTTAATAAAATATGCTCCTAACACATTTTTTCTGGGCTTTAAAGGCAGTTACAGAATCAGTCGAATATCCCCAAAATATAATCATAACATATAACCGTATCGAACAGTAGAAACTACGTACGCGTGATAAGCTGTAAGGACCGTGCACTGATTCGCGATCCTACTAAGTTTGTACAGTGCACAAGAATACTGGGACAACTTTTTGCAAACATGTTCAGTGTGTGTTTTCCAAGTCAAATTTATTATTATAGTACTGATTAAAGTACTGATTTGATAAAAAAAAACGTGCTTGATTTATTTATGTCGTATGTAATGGTATTTTTATATCTTATAGCTTAAATACAATGATGTCACAACTTACCTCGGTACCTGTCACAACTTACCTCGGTGGTAGGAGAGTTGTGACAAGGGGAGTGGACTTGAATTTTGTTATTTTTTTCAGAAACTATTATACTTTAATTAATTTTAGTGATGGTTTTGAAAACAGAAGGAATGGCGCTAAACTAATTCACATGAGTCATAACTGTGGAATGTTTCTTAAGCGAGATAGAGCCCCTTATGTAAAAATTGTCACAACTCTCCTTCCTTTCATGAATTAGTCCTTTGGCTAATTATGCAAATTGGTCTTTTAGCGAATTAGGCATTACGCGAAGTAGTCCTTTAGCTAAGTGGGCATTTTCCGAAGTCGTCCTTTCGAGACCCGGTGGCCATTTTGCAAATTACGCATTATGCGGCCAAACGCATGAAAATAAACATATAGGGATATTGGGTCAAAATCCAACTTTTAACATTCTGTCCGAAACACAAAGAAGTATGAGATAATATATACACATCAAATATTTCTGGTCGTTCATCTGATGGCTGGCTTTTGCACAAATTGCGAATCTCCACCATACAGGCTATGACTATTTTTTGTCTGTCTGTCAGGTAGATAGATTATTGAAGAATATTAAATACGTATTTTTTATTTTTCGTTATCAATGTATATATATTTAATTATTTGTGTAGTATGTATACGCCTATATAAGTATATGAAGTTATATTTGTTTAATGTATATGTTTTTAATATCTATTGTAATCATAAGATTACTATACACCCCCGTACTTTTAAGATAGTTCGTCTCTCCATTCAAACGTTGTCTGGAAGATATTATTGTTCTTTGTATGTTTTCTATTTGGTGTTTGCAATAAAATGTTATCTATCTACGCCGATATATTGAGTTGAAATATCGTATAACGTCACGCCTTTGTACAATTTGACGTATTCGTCACGTAGCGAGTCCCCACTCCTCAATTATGCCTATTATCTAAGCCCTTTCTTGTTAAATCAAAAAAAATACGTATCTAATAATTTTCTATTATCTGCCTGACGGAATAAATATAATTTCTTATTTTCATCAGCTCTGAACCATTGAGTTCTTTAAAACCGTATTTCTAAAGAGGAAAACCGGTGATTTCTTGATAACTTACTAAAGGTTCCTGTGATGTTCCCTCGACCCTGCAGCCGCAACAAGAGAACCTGGATGTCCATCTTGTATTTCCCATTGAAATCCAGCTTCGGCAACAGCAATTTGAAATCGAATCGGTTCTTGTCTAAATCAGACCTGGAAATTAAGACACAAATTTTATGACTTGACTGTAACTTTTTTTTTGTTGGTTGATGTGAGCTACTTTTATCCGAGAAATCGTTTTAACCACTGTATATATATATTTGTTGAATGTTATTCCGTGACTCCAAAGTTAAGACATATCAGAGGCTAAACATATGAATTGAAATGCAGAAGCTCTAAATTTAAAAAAAAACAAAAAAGTACAATCAGAAACGAAATACTTTACGAGAAATAAGTCTTTTCATTGCAATTTTTTTTATATTTATTTACGAAATATGTTTTTAAGCTTCTATCATAACAGTCAAATAATGATTTAACAATAATTTGAGTCATGTTGATATATTTATTCAATAGTGATACATAACAACCTGCGTTGTCTTGTCCATTTCAATGATAAATAGCTAATAAACTATAGAAACAGATTCACAGTTCTGTCACGTAACAGGCAGCCGTATCCAGATCTTTATATATTAATGCAAGACACAATCCTAACAAGGTCAAAATCCACATTCATTATATCCCAAGTACGCATAACAACTAAACAATTATTATTAAATGTGGCCTAGTTGACGGCATATTCAATAAGAAATATATTGTCATAAAATTCTGTCCGTATTAGTACAGTTAACAGCATACCTCGTACCGGCCACAGGTATTGGCGCCAAAAGATAATGAGACATGAGATCGGCGTACTCTTGTTTTTGGAAATTTTAAAAATTACTAGTCATGCGACTGATTGCCTACATGTCTCTACTATAAGAGACCAAACTTTTTCTGTCAACTTAAAGTGTTTACTTGTCAATGATAGAGTTCACAATTAATAAATACATGAATTTAGTCTTCTGTACTAACCTGATGTGCGTCTGTGTTCTATCTACCCAATCGCGTAGATACGCACAGCAGATGTTCTTGTCCATACTTGTCTCAGACTTTAAAAATCGGCACATAAAATCGCTTATTTACAGATAACATCACCAACTCAAAGATGACCAAAGATACAATCTTAGCTGTAAACCTAACCGTTGCAGAGTGGATGAAAGAAAGACATACTATGACAGAATGAATGAGTTACTCGCGAGAACTTGAATAAAAGAAATTATTCAAAGATAATATACGGAAGAAAAGCTTACGTTAGTTCTTCAATTATAAAATTGCTCGGCCCTCGTACTTTCACATCGTTGACAACAGCTGTCAACTTAGCTCCTTGCGGTCCGCGGGCCAGTGCGATCTGCCCCAAGCTCAGAGGCTCCAGACCCGGCACATCCAGCTCTGGTATACCCTGTAAAGAGAATATAACGTTACGAGTATCCATTACTTAATAGCTGCAGAGTTTAGGTTACTTGCTAGAATTGATATCTGGAAATACCTGTTAGATTTTAAAAGCTCTTCTACATTTGATATCCTAATTGTTGGTGAAGTTTAATGCATTATATACTACTAGCTTTCCGACAGCGGCTTCGCCCGCGTTGGTTGTATGATGTCTTGACAGTACATTTATCCCTAATTTAGAAATCGTTTAGTGTGATAAAAAGTATAAATCTATACTTATGTTGATTCAGACTTCGAATTCTCACAATCTTTCGCAAAAGGTTTTGAAATCAGGGTGTGATGGTTAAAAGTCGAGTATCTAAATACTGGTGCAACTACGGATGTCATTAATACAAAAAATTATCTACTACACGAAACTAAACAAAAAATAATATTTTCTTAAAATTTCTTTAACGAAACATGCTTTAAAACCACCAGCCACAAGGTTCCATCTCAGGGTAGCCTCTCCATTTGTGAAGGGAACTGTAGGTTCCGGAAGGGTTGTCTTGGTGACTCAGTCATGACTTCCCCGGTTTCATCTACAAAACTTGTTCGTCCTTTCAGTGATAACAACAAAACCAATTGTAATGCAATTGATGTAGTACCAATCATCTAATCTATACTTATAATAAATCTGTAGAGAGGTCAATTCTGTACATGAAATATATTTCCAAAATAACTATCAGGGGGTGATTAGGGATCGATACTGATGCCAAAAATGCAATCGGTAAAATTTTTGTCTGTCTGTCTGTCTGTATAACCGTTATAGAAACAAAAACTACTCGAGGGATTTTAACGAAACGTGGTACAATTATTTTTCATACTCCTGAGCTGGTTATAGTATACTTTTTATCCATAGGAGCAAAACAGTGAAGGGAAATGTTTGGAAAACGGGAGAAGTTACTCCATTTTTTAAGCTTCCATCGCGTGTGCAACCTTAATGGTTAAAGCTACCCAGAAATCATGTATGACGGAAATGTTATCCTTAAAATTATATAAAAAATATCCCACGACAGCATATATATCTATCTTTTATGGTTAACTCACAATAACACGTGTAACTCCCGATAGCTTAGCAGTTCGAAGCTTTCTGATTGTATTTGTCTATTGTCTACTCTTACGTTAATTACACTCTCAGTCATCCCTAATTAAAAAAGTTAACAGTATTCCATAAAAAAGAATCATAAACATCGGTATAGAAATATATAAGTCGAAATTGATTTTTGAGAAACACATTGGTTTAATGACATTGGTCTTCAGGTAGCTACAAAGACGAACATATGACAAAGACATGTCTTATAAAAAAACAGGAACCTAGGGTTTGTTAATGTCAAGTTAATAATTTCATTTTGTTACTATTTTATCATCCTGGACCCGATATATCTATACTAATATTATAAAGCTGAAGTGTTTGTTTGAACGCGCTAATCTCAGGAACTACTGGTTCGAATTGAAAAATTATTTTTGTGTTGAATAGACCATTTATCAAGGAAGGCTTTAGGCTATATAATATCATGCTGCAACTATAAGAAGCGAAGAAATTATGGAAAACGCGGACGAAGTCGCTGGCGGCCACTAGTATATAATAATTATTATCTGTGTATTTAGTAATGACCTCTCTCTCTGAATAAATATCAAATAAACAATATGATAGGGTTATATAATTTCTTCAATATCTGTCGACCTTGCCCTCAACCGTCAAAGGTATTTTCAAAAGCTAATTGTAGTTTTTCTGGTTGTAAGTTTAAATAAGTTTGTTGATAGCATCTTGACATACTTGCCCTATGTGTCGACATTTTGTTGACAATGACATACTTTCCAATCTGTTGTGAAGCAAATATTACCATTACACTCCTTTAATTGCTATCGATGAAGGTCAAACTATTTTGTACGTAATCCTTGCGTTTAATTACATATTTGCTTGACAAATCGACCGTTGCATATGAATATGAATCCTTCTAACATCAACATCACTTATGCCAAATGACAAACGTTTCTTTATTAATTGTTCAATCACCATGGAAGGAGTCAACTAGCATGATCGTGTTAGTGGTTTCTTTCATCAATAACCTACAGCAATAATATGAAGTGTATGTACTTAGTTATTAGCAAAGATACTTCATAGTTACATTATGATTTCATTCATAAAAAAATTAATAGAGGCATGCTCCGTTGGTTCGGAAATGTAGAAAGAATATCGGACGCAAAAACTTACGAACAAGAAATTAAACGCGAAAATGGAAGAATTTGAAAAACCCGAAGAAGCCACGACTCACCATCTACGATCAGATTGATAGCATATTAACGGAAGGTTATATCAGATCTATAAAAACCGGTAAAATGTATGAAAAGATTAACAGACGTTGAGGACACGAACGATGTCTAGAGAGTGTGGAGTGTACATCAAATAGACCAGAGTTTCATAAAATCTTTTTTTCAGTCTAGGTTGCTACAAAAACTTATGAAAGTCAAAACTCTATGCCATATATTCGTAAATATCTACGACGGGAGATTGAACCGAGAATCCGAGAAGAACCGGCAAAAAACTCAACAAGGACTGCTTTTTCCTCCTTATTTTACTTCACACAACTATGTCGAATTGAAAAATATCTTAATGAGACTATGAAGTCACTTTTTATCACAATATTAGAAATATAATAATTCATTCGTCAATCAATGCACATGTCGATTCAAACAAATTCATTGTTAATATATACAATATGCATAACAAAAGAAATTTTTTCTTAAGCATGTGTGTCAACCCAAAGTCGCTTCAGGAAGGTATTAACAGACCAGGAATTTTACTGGTAATTTCAGACATGGAGAAATCAGAACCAACTAGAAATTTTACTGAAAACTTTAAACATAAAAAAGCTGGAGAAACCAAGAAATCTACCCTTAAAGTATTCAACAACGAAACAGTCAAATTCTGCGCAAGTTGCTTATGTGTATAATAAATGTAAAACACATAGATGATAACGTCACAACAAATTCTATATTTTTTGGAACAAAGATGTAAAATTTGAATTTTGCATCTTTGTTGTCAATACTGCAAACTATTATTTTCCAAATTTGGTGTAGAACTGTTTGCAGAAGCGGTAATTCATCAACAGAAGAAACCTTTGAAATCAATACTACTGGGAACCAGGCTATCAGGTCTAAGCTTGTCGTCAAAAAGTTAAAATAGCTTCTCTATGTTTACGTTTTGAAATTCGTGATGTAATCAAAACTCTCATGATTGGATAAATACTCGGCTTTATTCTGGTTGATGAGTCTACATATTAGTAACCTAAATAGTAAATCAGTATACAATGTATACTAATGTTCTGTTAATTTTAAAGCTTGTACATTATTTGAAATATGATTTAATATTTTCCTCTCGCCGGTGCAGCCGTTCAAGCTAATTAGAGCCCAAGGATAACTTCATCCATTCAAACCTTCACTGAAAATTGCATCATGCACTCCAATAGTTCCCAACTATCAAAACGTTAAATATGACTGATTAAATACTTATATCTCAACATTAGGTGTAGCTCGGTGGTGTAGTGGATAAGCGCCGCGGCCCGCGATCGTAGTCGTTAAGCAACTTTCGCAAGGGTCGGTCACGGGATGGGTGACCAAAAAATTACTATCTCGAGCTGAATCTTTGTTAAATATTTATATATTTAATGAATGGTTTAGGAAGATGGGCCATGACGTTCCACGCTGGCCTTATACGGATTGGAGGGTATTTACGACTGCAAATACAATCGGGTCTAACGGCTTTACGTGCCTTCCGAACGACGGAATAGCTCGAGAAAATAATTTTTTGGTCACCCATCCTGTGACCGACCCCAGCGAAAGTTGCTTAACAACAACGATCACGGGCCGCGCTGCTTATCCTCTACACCACCAAGCTATTCTCAAAACAGAACATTATAAAAACTATAATTGTTGGCTAAATAATGGGTTTGTTGAAATTTCTCTCAGTTGAAACCAAGGCCGAACTTGACTTGTGCATGTGAAATTTTGACCGAATTCCGATCTCAATGCTGGTGCTATGATTGCTTAAATTTATTGTCAAAAATAATTGTCTGATCATGCAATTTTAGGGCTTGAGGTATAGTCTTTTATGTTTGTTTATTTTTATTAAATATTAGCTTTTACTTCGTCCGCGTGGTAAAGTTACTTTGAGCAGCATTTCTAACGAATATTTTTTCATTATATCTTATACATTTACATCCTTCATCATCCTTTATGTTATGCCCATGGCGGTTGGATTTTTCAAAACCCTATTTAAGCGGACGTCTTCATCATAGTAGCTCCAATCTTTAATTTCGGTTCAATCAGTCGAAAATATAAAAAGATTTATACAAACTTTCATCTCCTATTAGAATTGATCTTTTCTTAGCGGATGCCTACATTATAACATCCACCTGCATGCCAAATTTCAGCCCGATCCGTCCAGTAGTTTGGGCTGTGCGTTGATAGATCACTATGTCAGTCAGTCACCTTTGAGTTATATATATATTTAGATTGTCCTCTCAAGAGTCATACCCTTAGAATACGATTCATACATTTCACTTGAATCGAAAAGATATAATTTTTATCTGATTCTTTAATTAAAAAACTGTGTTATGTGTTAAGCCAAGTTTTTTGCTAAGGCTTCTTTTGAATCTATTTTTCATTTTTAATACTTTCAGGTATTTTTCTCTGGAATATTCAAATATAAATATATTCAGCTACTCTCACGCTGTCAATCTTTATACGCTGATATATCTAGTAACACCTGTTGAAACTACGAGTACACTCCAGAGTATATTATACTCAGCAACATCTTACAAAATATATCTCTATCTATCTATATCTTCACGCCGTAATGCCTCTAATATATTAAATCTATTAAATAAATATTAGATAACATCACATATATTACATTGCTGAAATCGGAAGTAGCTAAAATTCTTGTATTATGGAAATCTGAGACAATGAAGGTACACACACCCAGACCTAACACAACACAGCGATCGAACCAATGACCTCAGAAATAGCGACATTTGAAACAGCTGTATCAATGATACGGGGTCTCCGGGATATCCCCCCGCCACTGATTGACCACTGATTGAAACCATCGCGCAAACAACTCGACTACGGAGGTCGTAAACGACGCAGTAAAGAAATTTGAAGAGATAAACTTCCAGCAATTATAGCAGAAACATGCTTAATGACATATATAACACCAGGTGCATCCGTTATCACCACGATGTAATAACTGAAGTCGTACGTGCTTCAATGACCAGTATTGGGCTAGCGTCGAATAAAGAGTTATGACAAATGTTATTGGAATTCTATCTTTTGGTATAAAAACTCGTGTGGAATAATAACAAGGAATACTTAATAATGGGTTTGTATAGAGTGTTAGTGGTTGCTGTTTGCTTAAGCGTGTTCCAGGTAAACAATAAAAATATTAATTATTTGAAAACTTTTAGGACATGTTTTGGATTTTAGATAGATTAGTAGATTTTGACACAATGATAACTCTTAATAGTTTTTGTAAGATTTCAAGATTAAAATGTTTTATGTTAATAATATTGAAATATAATTATTTTTATTTTGTTATTTTTGTGGAATAATTTGTATAGGACGATTATAATGGAGGGAGAAATGGAGAAACGTTATACAACCCAATTTCTTATGTGAACGTTAAAAGTATATGATATGTATCGTTACACAAGAACTCTGTATCGTTCCCGATGAGTTCTGCTTATTGTTATACTAATCTCACAATATACAACGATATACATGTCATTTTAAACATAAATATGATAAAACTTCCATTGTTATTTATATATATATATATATATATATATATATATATATATATATATATATATATATATATATATATATATATATATATATATATATATATATATATATATATATATATATTTTATTGTTATCCAACTCAAACACATAAAATTAACCTCCATGTCAAAACATGACGTTTCGTTAAATAAATGTTATAGTTGCAAGATATGTATATTACTGTGCGCTAATATCGTATATCAGCAATAAAATACTTCGTTTCTTTATTACAGCTAAACTATTGCCAATGCCGGAATTTCAATGCTCCAGCTTCAAGGGTCCAAAGAAGTGTCAGATACACTTCTGTTGAACCTTATCCATACACACAAAATGACCGAAGAAATGCTAATGACCAACCAATTACTTCCAAAACATACACAAGACCGGTGACTGTAAAAGTACCCTTAGGTGGATCTTCTGGCCTCTCTGTTACAGTTAAAATTCAAAACAATACTAAAACAGAAAATACTCCGCAGAATTTACCTCCTGAATATAGTCTTACAAGAAATTCAAATAAACAATACAGCTCTGCAAGTGCTTACGCTGAAACAGGGTCAATAAACACTGACACACAAACAATAACGGCTACTGAAGCTGATTCAGGGGTGATAAATGGCGTTGATGTAGCTGAAGCAGGCGTGATAACTGACGTAATTAAAATAGAAAATGTTACTGAAACCATAAGCCAAGCAGAAGCGATGGCAATGGGAGACAACGCCACACAAGCAACAGTGATAGCATCAGCAAATTCTGGCAAAACATCCGCAAGTGGTAAAGCAAGTGGAAATGAAGATAATACCGTCGACGTAGGAGCAGCTACAGATACGATGACAAAACTTATAAGAACTGATACTATAACTGAAACAGAAGCAGTTTCAGAAGGTAACAACACAGCTACGGCAGAAGCATCTGCAATATTAGCTGCAGATGGTAATGCAGTATCTTCAGTGGCAAGTAGTTCAGCCACCGGTAATAACGCTAATGCAGTGGCAGCTACAGCTACACAAGTCATAACTACAACTTCTGGAACTAGCAATATCGATGCAGCTGTAGCCGAAGCTGGAGGTAAAGACGCACCAGCCGAAGCAATTGCAGATGTAGAAAATGAAGATGGCAAAAATGACGCAAATGGCAACTCAAGTGGCAACAATGCAGACGCTATGTCAGAATCAGAATCATATACTCTACCTGTAGTTACAAAAGCAGTTGTCACATATGATGATTCACTTGGAAATGAGGACAGTAAGACTGTTACTAACCCCGAGTCAACTCCAGGTGATATTTCATATACAGATAAAGACGAACCAGAAAAAAAAGCAAATGCTGAAAAAGCTGCTGAAAGTGGTTAGTGATTTATAAGACATAATAGTATGATGTATTATTTAATAACATTACTCATAACAAAAAAATATATATTTAAGACTAAAAAACCTTGTGCACAAGTATATACTGAAAATTAGATTGGTCTATCCAATAATATATTTTCTATTTAACAATATAAGGTTACACTTAATTTAAAAATTATTTTATTAAATAACAGAAAAATATTTTTTATCCCCGTAATTTCAGTTATATTTCTATTAATTTCATTTCATATATAATACTTAATATCAACTTTGTGTACAATTATATATAAATCTATCTTGTATCTAACTAAAGATACAAGATAGATTTATATAAATTATATTTCTTATAAAATAATTTATATTATGCATAATATAACAATATATATATATACAACGAGATGTCCTGACATACTGACTGACAGACAACGCCTAAACCGCTGGTCGTAGACACAAAAAATTTGGATGGTGCATTCCTCTTATTACGTAGAGAACGTATACTAAGGACGGATTCTTGGAAATTTTACCCTGAAAGGGTGAAAACGTTTGTATGAAACTTCTTTCTTTTTAGTCCTATATCGACGAAAATTGTTACTTGAGTAGTTTAAGACTCTGAGAAGGTAATAGGTTATTTTTTATCCCGAAAACCAGCACTTAAAGGGATGAAAATAGGAGTGGAAATTTTTAAGGGGAATGAAAATGTTACCATAGCAACCATTGTTTACTATTTAATATGTTATTGTAATAAATCTGTCGAATATTATTTATAAAGATTCAGAGTAATGAAAGTTGGTAATTAATTTATAACAAACATTATACCTATTTTAAATACAAATCTTTGAAAATATTAAAGTATATATATATATATATATATATATATATATATATATATATATATATATATATATAATATATATATATATATATATATATATATATGTTGAGCTATACTAGATGGCGTTAGGATTCTATATATCTAAATTTTGTAGGAACTTTAAGTTTGCTATACTATGCATTATCGTATTGTTCAAAGAATTTTGCGTAGATTCCAGTTTTCGATTAAGTTTTGTGTAAACTTTAGATTTATTTGTGTTTTTCGTTCCATTTGTTTTTTAAATAGCTTAAAGTGCTGAAACGTATTGGACATTAGTCGGTGTAATGTGTGATTAATGTTTTATTTTTTTTCTATTCTGTCTTGATTTAAATGATAGTATTTTAGATTTTAAATAGCTTGTTATAATTAAAAAAAATGTCGTGTACACCAGTTATTGGCTATCATGTAAGCCCTGTACGATTATTTCCATATTTAAAAAATGTAATGATATGTATAAGTACATTAAATAAATAAATAAAGCTTTTTCTTGTAGTGATTTCGAGGTTTAATTTCAAAGTAATTTTTTTCTAATATAATAGAATAAAACTAATAATAATAAATAGTCTTTATTGCACAAACCATATTAAAATTACTTTGAAGTTATTAAGAATATAGTGTTTCGTATCGTGATCCTTGACAGTTGACCAGTTCCTTGGCCTTTGTACAGTACACCCACACTGTAGAAGGACGTTGTAATAGTTAATCAGCTAATCGACGTTTAGCCGTGTAAATGAATGCCGCTATTCTATTATAGGGCTATCCGCCTAATTGGGCAGATGTTATACCGAATTTGCTACGACATATACACTATTTATTAGCTTCAGTGTTTTTTTTATTAATTCACACAAAATCCCCTTAATTTAAACTCAAAAAGAAACAGTTCTGAGTTTGAAAATCGACCAAGCAATTGTGATATTGTTCTTAGGCTATTTATTTTGTTAACTGTCTGGTAATCTTTTATTATAAGATATAAAGAGCAATAAGGAGAATCGTTTAATTACTTCATAATAATATTGTACATGCAAAAGTATGTATGTCTGTGAATTATATTGTATGTTACGTTCTCACACCCACTAAACAGAGTTGACTTAAGATAGGGCATAAGCTGACGCAGGTTGCTTTTTTTTTGTTATAAAAGGGTTGAAATAAGAAATAAAATTTTATATGGACATTCGCTATTATCACATATAACATCATGAAACTTTAAATTCCGGTATTTTACACGATATAATTAATAAATATGAATAGTAGCGTTTTTAGAAAAGATGCCCAAAGTTACTTTACCACATGAATTAATTCGCAGGCAAAAACTAGTATATTATAAAAGGTTCTAAGGGGTTAGAGTGAGTTTTTTGACGTTTATCTTCACCATATATCATGAGTTCGGATTTCTGTTTGTCGTGGAAGCGGCCATCGAAGTTTTTTCCGCTTAACAGTCAATGAATGAGCTGGCATTGTTAATAAGTAATAATATAGTCACAAAAAGATATTATTATTATAATAATTCTTGTGTCATATCATAATAAAACGCAACTGTCAGAGTCAATAAGTTCAGATATCTATAAATATATATCAGAGTGAATAAATTATAAGCACATATATATATAACTATCAAATATTCATACATACAAACACTCATACACTCTCTCTCTCTCTCTCTCTCACACACACACACACACACACACACATACATGCACACACACAGACACACACTCATTTATTAACTCCATTCTTTTTGTATCCATTTTTTCTTTTTCTTAAATTATGTCACGTGGATTGATATGTTCTCTAAGATGGTAGAAGAAACTGTGTGTCTGAAACTCAGGTTTTATATACCTACCTCAGACGTCAGGGTGCTCATAAAAATGAATTCTTGGCTCTTTGTGAAAATAAAGAATTATTATTATAACCTGGCAGAGGCTTTATTGATAAAATAGGTATAATATTTTAATCCTCAATTAAAACATTTCTTAAAACACAAATTTTAGTTCTGCCATTATAAATGGTATAACTAACACAACTTCCTTTTATATGTATATCTAAATGATAGGGACATATATATATTTCTTGAAAATCGATTTGATACGTGACAGTATTTTAGAAGTTAATTGGCTGGATTATGTTCTTGTATATTTTTATTTATTAACTTTTTCCATAATCCTTAGCATACTGTAACTCACATTTATCATTTTCGGTCGCAGTTCTTCTATCGAATTCATGATGCATTTGTTGACGTTGGTGTCGTTTCGCTGACACACTTTGATATAAGGCGCTGAAACAATAACAATGATAAAATATAAATAAAAATTGCTTGTCAATGTGCAATGCAGTTTAAGTTTAAATATATATATTTTTTAATTTAAGATAATTTAAACACCGCGTTCTTCATTATAGTGTGATGTATCAAATTTTTAAATAAATATATTTGTTATACAGCCTGTTGCACAAACGACCATTAAAATTGTCATTAGTTTAAAGCGACATTACCCATACAAATTTGACATTCATTAGAGCTTAAAGGCGTCATTAAACCCTAATAGACGTTTGTGCAACTGACCGATAATCCCAAGATTTTATGAAGTTATTTATTCATCATCCTTTGATTATGGGTACTGGGTTCAAATTAATAATTCAGAATAGCATTATTAACCCGTATGATTAATTACTTTTTTTTTCAATTGAATATTTGTATGCTTTCTTATTTTTTATTACATCCAATGTTAAATTTTGTAGATATCTCATTTGGTGCAAATAATTAATATACCTAACTATTTTAATTAAACAAACAAATTTAAAAACAACTTGAGCAATGTAGCAGTCGCATGTAATAGCCTCGCAAGAATGTTTTGACCACGTTGAAATCGGGGGCGCATGCGTTTAGTTAGTTACGTCACATCAAACGACACGAAGGGATAGTATTCCATTGCCGTTTAACCTTGACTTTGACTCATTAGATCAGAAGTCAACTAAGAATTGTAATGTTAGAAAGAAAATGCGATAGGTAACAAATGTGAATAAGAATATTTTTTCCTCTTATTGCTTCCTAGATATTATTATAGTTTAAATACCGTTAGGTTGTTTCAGGACAATTATCTTTATATTTTTTAACCAAACAATGTCTATAGTTTTAGCTCTAAAAAAATAAATATACCAGGTGTAATTCCGCTTTTGGTATTCATAAACTTAAAACATAACTGCGAGAATATAAAAAATAAAAATAGAAGAGAACGTTCTTCAATTTTATAGGGATGGCCGATCAAAGCTTTTCGCAGATGGCGTCTTAGTAATTTCTGCCTTCGTCTAGCTCAAATCAATTGAAATAGGTACAAAAAAGGAAACAGGCGATCGATTAGGTAAAACTATTACAGCATCAACTCAAGTACACCCTTAAGCTCTACTAAATAATACTTGTTATTACCACGAGTTGGCGTTGAAGAAACTGCTCTACCTACCAAGAGTCAAGACCAAGAAGTTTGGATATCTTTATATTTATCTTTACTTAAAATTCTTGGCCAAGACTGTTATTTACTTACTTTTCCTGTTTTATATCTCTTGGGAAGACGCTACGGCATCGCCATTTCCCCAATAGTACAATCTCCTCGCTGATTCATACAGTAAATAGTTTACATCATATAGCAAATAGTTGTTATTGTGGATGATATGACAGTTTTATCAATTTGTGCTTGTTTGTACTGCTTCCTTTTTTATGTAAAGATATTTGAGGGGAGAGTGATATATTTTTACCGCGAAACACTTCACCACGCGAGCGTAGTCATGAGTAACATGCTAGTATCTATATATGTATATTTCGCAGTCAATTGGTTCATTTTCATGAACTACTCATGCAAATGAACCAATTGACTGCGAAATATACACACTGTTATAGTTAACATATTTCACGGTTATAGTTAAATCATCATAACATTTCAATAGAACGGCTGATTTTGTTTCCAAAATGTCGTCAATAGCTGATATACGTCTGTATTTTTGATCTTCATCGGCGATATTTTTATTGTGAAAGAAGACAAAATAAGCTACCAGTTTTATTTAAAAGTTATAGATAGATAACTAATGGACTGTGAACGAGTGATTCAAAGGAATTTAAAAATGATGAAATCTGTCATCGAGGTTATTTTATTCTTTAATCACGGATATTTTGCTAGTTCATATAAATTATACTGTTTCCTAAATAGTAAGAACATGGCCCAATGTCGTTTATAATCAAATAAATAGCTTAACGAGTGGCTACATGCAATTGAAGGGTGTGTAATTAAACTGCTTTAACCCCTAGTCGTATATTTGAACGTCTGTTTTTAACCAGTATGCTGCGTTTACTCTTCGTTCTTTCACACGCGTTGTAATGGTATATTTCTATAGAGATCGTTGTGACAATTTCCCGCGAAAAATGTCTCACACATACCCTTTGACTACGCCACCATGCTAAGTTGATGGATTCAGCATTGCGTTGCAACGCAAATCTTAGCGTGGTGGGATCGCCGCGTATCGCAATCGTGCGTCGCAATAGTGTCTTAACTATTTTGACATATCCAACATGCCGGTTTTATGGCGATATCGCAGACGCTGATCTTAGTTTTTTATCTATTTGTATCTTTAGATATAAATACTACGTACATTTAAAACAAAACGTCTATGTACCTACTCTAGAATTTATTAGCAACTGAAATTATTCGATTCGTTATTGTCAAAGAAAACGTAAATAATATTTTAAACTTTTTTTTGTTGTAATATATCCATCGGGTACTGTTATTTGGGTTTTATAAATGGTGAAACTTATTTCTCACTTCCCGCTCCTCAATATTAAACCAAAAAGTCAAATTAACTATTATGTAAAAAGGATCCAGAGAAATTAGCTATTATCTATACATATATAGGTATTTATAATATATTTGTTATTTCTTAGGTAAAAAAATCTTTAAACGCTTCTTCTACAAATAAAAAAAAAATCTTTTCTTTCAATCGTTGTCATGAAATATTTAACTATTAAACAAAATGATATGTTTATTTCTTGTTATGTCCAGTTTATTCATATGTATTAAGGTATTATTGCATAATTCACTTCTAATGATTGATAAAAATACTGGCTGTTAAAAATAGACTCCTTCGCCTTATATTAGAAGAAACCGGTTCGACTAGTTCAGAATTACTAACTATTATTTGGTACAAATATTGAATATGCTTTTTTCTATTTCTGTAGCAGGTGACTGACTGGTTGACATCCCGATAAATTTCTGTTAGTAAACAGATTTTTTCAGAATTTCCATTTGGCTGAATATTTTCTCTGTTCATTATTTCATGGAAATTGTATTACTATTTACAGTTTATTTTGATAGATATTAAATATTTTAATATACATTATAAACATCAAAAATCAATCGAAGCCTACTCAAGTGCTAACGCACGCAAAAAATAATAACTATTAATAATTTCTGTAGAAATTAAACTATTAAGCAGTTGAAGTAATGCGCGGTCCAAAGTTGAACCAAATTCGCCATTGTCAGGGCCTCGATTCATGTTTATGTAATTAAAGCATCCCAATAGAATCTCAGTTACTTGCATTTTGCCAGTGTACTATCTACCTGAAGTCCTATATTGTTAGTGCAACGTATTTCATCAATGATAACAGATATACATATGAAAATAAATAGGTCCTTACATATGAAATTGGCTTATTGTCGTACTGGCCACTTTAATCACAAATTTCTCCTCCTTGGTTGGGAATTCCTAATTCAAATTAATACAGCCATTTACACATGTATTTGTGTTTCGTTAGACGGCATCTATTGTTTTTTTTTTCTTTTGATTAAATCGAGGTGCAATACTGATGACATCGTGTTACCATAGTAACACAGTATACTGTAACGTGCGCGGAAAATCGCCATTTTGGTTCAACCTACGTGCCTTGCGCTACATTTACATAATATTATTTAATAATTATATTCATTGAAGTCGTACCGACGTAACGCCCCCAGTTTTCCTATGCCTATAAGGCTACATGCGCACTGGTTACTCTCTATTACCGTGACTTTTTATGCCTCGTCACCGTGATTGAGAAAGTGATTTCCGTACAAATCACATAAGCACAGTGACTAAAACAAAACTTCTCCAGTGTGCGCGTAGCTTTAGGCTTTTTTATTCCTCTTTTTATACTCCTATAGGCTTTGCGCGCAAGCGTGACTTTTCCACCGTAATATTCTGTCTCCTGTCATCGATCTTATGTATTCTTGCGATGGAGCGTAAACTTGAATACTTGATAATGAGGTGACTTCAATTGAATCAGTAAGGAAATGGTGATTAGAAACATTAAGTCTCAATGACAAATAGTCACCCGTGCGCACATGTCCTAAACGGAGCCCAAGCTGCAACTGATATCGATGCGGGAGGAAAGATTCCGTGTAATAACACATGCAAAGCTGGGTCCGATGATTGCTTGGTGTATTTATAGCTTTTTAACCTTATCAGTTTAGAAATAAATAAATTTAGTAACTTTATTAGTCTAATTTTGTAAGCATAGATTAATTTAAATATATGGTAATAGCTCTATATCTATAGAATACTCTACACAACTTTTCAGGTATCCGATTAGTCTTATAGAATTTTATTATCATGGTAGCAAATTTTAGTTAATTTCTGTCTATAAACAAAAAAAGAACTTAAGAAAATTCCAAATTCAAAAGTTTGAATAACTAACAGAATAGGGATGCGCCACAACTTACGTATATCGGCAGCGACGAAACGCAACGCGACGAGAAGTACAGTTGCGGTGAACATGTTTGATTTTTGTAATAACACAAGGGTGTCGCAACTGCGACCGCGTTGGTGTCGAGCGGCTGTCGCGCGCGTCGGCCAGGTAGGTACTGCCTGGAGTTTGCCACCACTCCGCGGTACGTATTAAGGACGTGAATGTCCGCCCTGTGCAGGCTGAAACAATTAACTACTTATTAAAATAAACACGTTTAAATACACTCATATTGCAATATCGATCAATCAGTATAAGCACCAATCTTAATAAACAAGATAATTTAAGTGTTACAAGATAAGAATCCGGTGTTCTATTTGTCAGACATTCATACAATCGTGCCAGTCTTCTAAACTTTTATTTCAATAAATTTAGAATTAAGCTTTTGAAAAACATATAACTGACTTTGAAAACGTGAAAAAAAATTAAAGGAAAGAAATAATGAAAAGCGGTTCTTTTAATTATGAAAATTCTATTAAAGTCGTGCGGAGATTTTTTTCCCGACGTCAATAAACGTCAATAAAATTTTAATTTTCCTAAGATAACAAACTACTCTATCATTTTATTTTCTGACATAAACATGACGTCTGATGATCTTGGACCACATCAGGCATACGAACAAAAAAGAATTTTGAAAATCGCTATACAGTTCTGGGAAATATCGCTCATATTGGTAATCGCACATCCTCCTTTATCGATTTTGAGGTCAGTTAAAAAAGGACTTCACTTACTAAGTTAAAAAAAAATCCGTACTTCTATTTTTTACCATAAATAACCTGTTTAATATTGTTATAACGATATATTTATTATTTTTCATACACTTCATTTATTTATTTAAATTGTATTGCACGTAGAACTGTTACAAATGGCAGATTTAATACCTTTATGCTTACCAGTCCCTAGAGAGTTGTATCCTACAGATAATTTCTGTGGCGGTGCGTAAAGATGGACTAGAAAGTTATAAATATAAATTCGGTTCAATATTAACGTCTAACTACAATAAAATCTCGTACAATATACATTAAATAATGATAAATTTATATATACAACTTCAATATTCTTTTGAAAACACGATATTTGGCGATATTATAAGCCTAACAAAATAAAAAAAAATATTACTTTTTTGAAGTCACTCTTAATTTATTGAACCTCTAATGCTGTGTGCCTAGATGGACTTGAGCAACATTTTGTTTACATCCAAATGTCACTTTTTTATATGTGTCCATATAAGTACAATAATTCGTTCACGACTCGAGAGAGACAAGATGTATAGAAAATGTTCCTCGGAATAATGTATTGTACCTCATGCAGTGGCGTAACTATAGCGTTTGAGACCCGCGGCAAATTTAGCGGATATATATATATTTTTTTACTATATATTAATAATAAATATCAGGAGTAAGGAGTCTCCTCTGACCGGGGGCCCCTTCCAGGTGGGGGCCCGTGGCATTTTGCCGTATTACCACCCTGTAACCTATGAACTCATGCTAAGTCATTTTCATTCTCTTAGGGTTGTCAGCCGTCCCGAATTTTCCGGAGTAGTCCCAATTTTAATGATATTGTACCAACTTTGACAATTTTTTTATTATATTTGATCAATTTTGCATTCACAATGCTATAATAAAAAATATTCTTAATGAAAAATGCTTAAAAAATCCACTTTGTCCCATGCACTCTGAGATGGGACTCTAACCCATGACCTTTCGCAATCCGGGCGACTGCTCTTATCACTGAGCTATCCAGGACCTAACAGGACTTGTAACTTTTTCGCTACTGTTATTACTTATTACTCAAATGTTTGTTACGCCAAGTGCAATGTAGCTAATACTATTATCTATTCTACACTTCATAGGCACACCAAAAGTACATGATATAGGGCTATCAAGACTCGGTGGGGGATTATCCTGGCGACTAGATCACCCCCAAGTCTCATTCCCCAGCAAATTGTAAACCTTACGGGATTGTAATTAAAGCATTTACCCGGCGAATAAAGGTCGAAGTTTTACAAATCCACCTCTGCCTATTATAAAAACAAATAAACAGTTTTAAATTAGAAAGGTATTGAGTAACTAGATGTCATAATGTAAATAAATAGGTCAACAAATATTTTTTGGTCATCCATCCCGTGACCAACCCTTGCGAATGTTTCTTAACAACAACCATCAAAGGCCACGGCGCTTATCCACTACCCCATCAAGCTACTCCTTGCATATTTATTAGTTATAAACCTGAAATCTTTTTTTTTACTACAAAATAAACTTCTATTTGATACGTAGGCGAAAACGCGAGTAATACTAGTCCCGTTACAAATGAATCATTCCAATTAAAAACATATGGATCATAGTGGATAATAACAATTAAGTCACCTTATAAATTGATATTGGAAACAATGACACACCACATTTATTATAACATCTTTGCAGTTATTAAACTGGAACTTTTACCCCCCCCCCCCCCCCCCCCCTCCCTGCTGCCTAAAACTATTATTTGTATATCTTACGCTCAAAGATTTAAATCACTCATTGTGCGAAAATAACTCTTAACGCGTTGTTGACACTGTTTGGAAAATTTTATAGTTTTGGATTTTCCCTTACCGACCGATTAATGTTACACTCTGTATATCTTACATCTGAAACGAACCTTATGATATTCACCACACTAATAATCTCCTTCAGGAAATGTCACATAACTTCATATCCTACTAAACTTGCACTAACACTTCATAAAAGGGTCATGAACTAATAAAGATTAAAGCGCTATCAAAGGGGCACATTGCTTTTTATTCAGCATTGTCCCAAGATATTACACATAGGTTCCGGCCGGTTGCGCACGCGCAGTGGAAACTGTTCTTATATCCTTTTTCCTGGATGTTCGTTCCAGATTTTCCGTGCGCACGTGACTGTAGAACTTCCTACCGCCGGTAATTAAAAGAAAACTAACAGCGCCGGTCATACGCGTTTCCTGAAGTCCAATACATAATTTGAATAATACTCACCTCTTTGGTTCCGTAAGCAAATAGTGTCGACAGTATCAAACTCAAAGTCAAAATATCTTTGTTCAATTAAAATTATATAAAGTATTTTTGAATCGTTAAATATTTTTCTTACCATTCGTTCAGGACGTTTTTTGACTGATGAGAAAACTAGCAAAAGAAACTCACCAGCTCTAATAGAAGTAAAGACATTTGTAAATGGCATTTAAAATTAATATGACACAACTGTATGTATATCTACAGAATCAACTTATGGCATAATATTTTTCGTCAATATTCTTATCAAAACTTAAACGTCGAGCGTGGCGCTATGGCACCATAGAGCTTCATGGAAATAAAATCATTATTGAACCTCTATGGTATAACAGCGCTGCACTTGACGTCAAGTTCGAGGCTGATTTTATAACAGAACAGCATTACGGTCTGTCTAAATCAATCTTTATTGTGATATCTATTCGTCCTGCACATACGTCCGTCAATCCGTTCGTAAAATTTAAATAAGAATTTGTTTCTACAGTATTGGTAAGGCTGGGTATGAAAATAAAGAGAAATTGAGACGAATTCAATGTGCTCGTCAATGAGAGAAAGAGGGACAAAGACATAATTACTCAAAACACTTATTATTTTTGTACTCAAAAGAGGACTCAGCTGCAAAGTGACTCAAATAATTATCAATTTTGAAAGGAAAAGGAAAAATAAATTCTGTTTGACTGCGTCAAAGCCCTTATAATGAGATGGAATTTATCATTACTAAAACAGAATTTCTCATTCATGAACCCTCTTATAGAAGAAGTTTTATGAAAATGTCTTTTATTTCTCCCATAAATGGCTACTCAAAATTTTAGAACTGTTGATAACATAACTATTTTCACAGAGCGCATGACACTAATATTTTTTTTTTCTAATTTATTCTTTAAGATACAAAACAGTATATCAGAAAGTACAACTTATGATACTTACAATACTTCTAAAACGAAATAATAATATAAAGAAGACATTATATTCTTAACAAAAAATCCTTAAAATTCCACCAACCCCAAGTACTCTGAGATGAGACAAAATAATAAGGCTAATGGATTTTTTTTATAGTTTTCCAGCATATCATTATAAATGCAAAATTTATCAAAAACTAGCTGACCCGGCAAACGTTGTTTTGCCTAATAATAATAGCCAAAATTTTTAATGGTGGACAACCCCTATTATCACTAAGGGGTATCAAATATAGATGTAGGCCGATTCTCAGACCTACTCCATATGCTCACAAAATTTCATGAAAATCGGTCAAGCCGTTTCGAAGGAGTACGGGAACGAAAATTGTGACACGAGAATTTTATATTTATAGAGATAATGATGAAAAATCCACTTTGTCCCTGGAATTTTAGGCATTTTTCATTAAGAATATTTTTCAGTGTAGCATTATGAATGCAAAATTGATCAAATATATTAAGAATTTTTTTCTGATCATACCTACGGAACCCTAGGAGTCAGACTCAAACTTAGCCTTTTACTACACTCATTTTGTTTATAATTTACTATGTCCATATTTAACATTTTATTCTTAATATTACATATTTTATTTTAATACAAGGTATGTACACATGGCTGCACGTCAAACTATACTTGTGCACTTTGTACCGACCGCGCTTCATAGAATTTCCCTATAAGAGTGTGGCCGTGCGTACCTATGACTTATTCTTGTCATAGGTATATTTTTTTAAAGTACTTAATAATGTTTCGTGATAATTCATAAAATGCATTATAATAATTTGATCCTTATAACATTATTAGATAATTATAACAAGAATAATAACATTATTATTCTTGTTATAATTATCATTATAAGTTGCAATTGAAATAAACGATGCCAGAGGCAGCAATGGCTATGCTTAGGAAATGTGTACCAAAATGTAATACCTTATAGTATGTATATATATTAAGTTCAAATATATTGATTCATTAGATGTTATTAAAGGCTTCAGATCAATAAAAATAAAAATCACTCGTAACTTGTGGTGTATATCAGTAAATATAATTAAGAGT